AAGACTATCGGTTCAGGAGGTACTCAGAAGAAAGTATACACGGGGACCAGCGCATCTGTGAGAGCTCTGAGGTGCCCTGTCAGAGCAGCTGCAACAAGGAGCGGTCTCTGAGCCCCCTGCCACAGCTGGATGTTGAAGTGGTTGAGGAAGTTTTGCCATCCTCCCCATCCACTCCCTCCAGCACTTACATCATCAATGTAACTGATAGCGATGAGGAAGAAGATGTAAAGTTGTTTCAAGTATTGTAATTTTTAAAACAAATTATAGACCAGAGAAATATTATAGAATGGGAAATAAATGTTTTCCTCAGCACTAGCTTTTCAGTCAGTGTGTTCAGTGGGAAACCCATGTGGCTTCAGTGAGTTGCACAGGTCATTTTGAACAGTCTGGTGAGCTCTTTGGAATTTGAGAGCTTACAAAGAGACCTGGGGAGGGTAAATTGTAATTCAGGTAACAGACTTCTTTGCAGCTAAGCTGAACATTCCTAGAATGATGAGCTGAAGTCATTTTTTCAGACAATTCAGACTACTAATATTAGTTTATATATGTGCTTGTGTGTATTTACAATTATGAAAATCCAAAGAAATGTGGAAAGAGCTGAAAGCCATGGATGGAGAAGTCCATTTGTGCTGGGCTGCAAGGGGATGCTAAGGGATGATTCAGAGGAAGCTGGTTGTATGGGATCTGTGTCTGCAGGTTTATGGTGTTGAATCCAGCCCTCAGCTGAGCTCTCTTGAAAGCTCTTATGTCTTGTCTACAACAGAAGTGAAAATTATACAAACAACCCACCCAAACCTGGCTTCCTCTGAATCATTCCTTATCCTGCTCTGGCAGCCCTGCAGTGGAGAAAACATGATAGAAGTGGTTTTTAGTTCCCATTTCCAGGTCATTTTCAGCCCACCAACTTCTCTCCTAAATGCAGATTCCTGAAGTGCCAAGTATCTGTGCTTTTACTTTTCCTCTTGCAATGTCTCAAGTGGGTCATAGGCAGGGCCAGTCCTTTGGCAATTGTGTGCCCTCCTGCAAGTCTCCATAGCAGTGCAGAGGGTACCTGGGACGTGAGAGGGAAGTATTCTACTCTCTTATATCATAATTATTTTCTCTTTTATATCACAATTATTTTCTTCTTTCTCTACTGTTTACCTTGATCTGAACTAAAAATCACCTTGCATGGTTCTCAGCTTGAGAAACAGCTGCAGATTTTCTATACAAAGCTTGTTTTCCTCCTGCTACTGTGAAAGTCTAAAGACACTCAGTAGTGCTTCCCAGTGTGTCACTGCCTGTGACTATCCATTTGCAGAAACAACTTTCTTCCCCAAAGTTACTGGACAGCTTTATGGATTTTTTTTTATGGAAAGCCCTTTTGCTATTTTACCTTAGGAGAATAAACTACTTCAGTATAATCACTATTCTATTGGTGCAGTTTACAAGCAGCATGGAGAGGACTACGGTGCTTCATATGTGCAAATACAGTTAAAAAGGTGTGGTGTGTCTGCATAGGGAGTCTTTTACCACCAAGTTCACTTGCCTGTAGGAATGAAGCAAATTAGTAGCAGAAAGTAGCTGCAGTGACCCACCCTTTAAAGGAAGCACAGAGATTGCTCTGATATTCTTTCACTATCAGCACATTGGGACAAGCCCTTGTCCAATACCTGATCATCTTACAGCACTTCTCCCTCTTTGGCAGGACAGCTGCTCTAGGGCCTTTCCAAGCATTCCTGCTGTCCTACATGGGTGGTGGAAAACCAGAGTTAAACAGAGTATTCTGGGTCAGCTGAAGCTGCTCTCAACTGCTAAGATTCAAGATAAAGAAGTTCACTGTTAAATCTCCAGTTCCCTTCACGCATTCAGAGCCTCCCTCCTTTGATCAGTTCAAGTGATCTGAATGAAAAAATATTCTGAGAAATGGGATATTTCACATTCTGCTCAAGTCAGCCAAAGACATAAAATTTCTCTCATCAGTGTGAGCATCTGTCATGCAGAGGTTAGGCAGGACAGTCTTCTCCCTTCTTCTGCTAAGACTTTGATTCTGGGTAACGTTTCCTCCAGTGTCAGCAGGAGTCTTTTCAGAGCACTTCATTCAACAACCTTTCCTATTTCTGAAGAAAGAGTTCCAATGAAATATTACTGAGCTCTTACTCTCATACATGTCCAAGTCATTCTCTGCATAAGTCTGTCTCTTGAACAGGCATTCTTCTCCCTAGGCTCATCTATTTCCTAACTTCTAATTTACTATGAACATAATAGGAGAATTGTCATCTTTGCTCTCCAGCCAACAACAAGAGTGTTAAATCATCTTGCAAACTGTGGAGCAAGTGCAGAACCCCCACTGCAAAAGCTTTGTCATCAGCTTTGCCCTGGGGAGGCTGAAACACCTCCTTGTCGAGCCTAATGAAGGCCCCTTGCTCTGGGTGCTGCTTGCAGGCTGCTGCTAATGGCTATGTGCATGCCTTGATCACAGGGGATGTAACAGATGAGGGAACAGAGCACAGACTCGAAATTCCCAGCTGATACTTTTAATCAGGCAGTTTGGATCCTGGAGGAAATGAGTCTGGGCCTGTAAAATTCCTAGATAACCCAAAGCCTGACCTTGCTTTGTGAATCAGGCAAATGTCCCCCTGACTTTGGTTGGAGCTCTTTGAAGAGATGGGCACAGGCAGGATCTGACTCATCCTGTACCAGATGCAGGTACCATTACAACATCTGAGCACTGTTAGGAAGGCTGAAATATCCTAATTCTTTCCATGCAACAATGTCTCAGTAATGTGATATATCATATATATATAGATAGATTAACCTATATATAACAACTGCACAGCCTGTAGTTATATTTTTATGGAGGGAGTTTCTGGTGATTGTAAATTAAGATATCAATTCTCATATTACCAAGGTCCAAAGATAAAAATATCACTATGTAACAAATGCAAATATTGCACATATTTTATTTTTATGGTACTTGAATGCTGAAAAATCACAAGCAGATAGTTATTGGCCTAAGTGCTTTAATGACCTTCAGTCTCCCTTTATTCCACTTTATGCTTTTTTTGAGCTGATCTTCTTTTAGAGAAATACATGGAGCAGTCCCTATGAATGTAGTTTGTACTGAGATGATTTGGGACAACCTTTCAGTGCAAACATACATGTGCCTCATCAAAGTGTGGTTTTGTTTTTTTTTTCCTTTGGGTAGATGGAAATTTTATGCAAGGATGAAAGCATAATAGCTAAAATCGTGTCTAAATTTGGCTTGCATTTTTACTTATTTATAATAAAGACATCCACAATAGTGCCATTGTTTTCATCTGTATTATAGGCAGCTATAAACAAGTAGGGGAATTCAAAGAAAATAATTAAGGATTCCCTTCAAGACATTCCATATGATTAGAAAAGAGCTGAAATTTGGTCCCTGGATTTTTGCTCTGGGAAAGAACACGATTTAGTTATGTCATGAAAATTTGTGACCTCTCCGTGAGGCAGATAAAATGTCATTTGTAGCCCACTCACCCTGATCACTCCCTCTAAGTGTCCCCATGATGCCCTGGCTTTCCTCTGCCAGGGTGATATCAGGAATAAACTGACCTTCACAAGGTCAGAGGGGTTCAGGGTGTGAAGTGCTGGGGGAGAAAGAGGACATATATGAGAGTCATAAGCCAAAAGACTATCTGAAAATGGAAACAGTCATGTTTCCTTTGGGCAACAGTGGCAGGAGCCAGCCAAGACCTTCAGTAAAAGAGAGATCAGTGTTCTCAATAGCATAAATAATCCTCTGGACAAGAGAGGAAATCATTACTATTATCTAGCAACCTTTTATTCTAAAGGGAGTATTAATTTCCTATCAGGCTGATTTACCAATACATTCTGAAACACAGCCAGGTGCAAATTCTCTCAATTTCTTGTTTCCCTGGTGATTCACCTACACAGACACTTAAGTACAGAGATGAATGGGAAGAGCTGAATGGATAATGCAGATCAATGGCTGTCTGAAGAGCACGGCTAAGATGTAATGCCTCTTCCTGCCACTCAGAGTTGACCCCTTAAAAATCCATGCCAGTCCACCCTTGCAGCCTTGAGTGAGGCTGCAGTGGAGCTGGACAGGAGTCACAGCAGAAATACACTGACACAGAGAAGGCAGTTGCTTTTTGGGGGCTCAGGGTGTGCGAAGAGCATCTACAGCACTGTGGAGACTCAGTGTTTGCAGCTGGTAACTTCAGTCCCACTAAATTGGACTCTCCTCTCCTGGTGTGACCCTGACAATAATTCAGCAGTGAGACACTGTGTCTCACACCTCCAGGTTCTCAGCTCCCTGAGAGGCAAAAGACCAGCAAAGAAACGATGTGTGGACTTCAACCCATGACTCAGCTCCCAAAGATGCAGGAGAAGATAGGGATGCTCCTTTGGGAGCCTCACAGGAGTGAGTGGATATCCCTGAAGGGCAGCACAGGGAATATGAGCCATGGATGTTCCCAAGCCCTTCCTCAAGCCTGACCCTTCCATCTACCATAAGGGGAGAGAGGCACTGAACATGTTATTGGTTCTGCCCTTTTACACAGACACATAACAATCTAGCCTTTATCCCTTCAGCTGTGCAAGGGTAATGCATTTTCCAGGAGTGGAGGGATTTAGGATGTCTCTGGAACCATGGGATCAGCTATGAATGGTTTTATAAGATTATACATAAATATAGTAGATAAATAAAAAAACAACTAAAGCCATAAGCACAGTTCTTATGGGAGCTTCTTGAGCTGCTTCTCTCACCCAGGTCTCCCCTGGTTCCTCCTAGCTGTTGCAGGGAGGGGCTCAGGCTTGCCCTTGTCCCGAGGGCCCGGGAGGGGGACACAGTCCAGCCCCCCAGCTGTAGCGCCCGGAGAGCATCCCCTGGGTGCTGCCCGAGGGCTGGGCTGGGAGAAGAGGAGGAGGCGGGGGGCTGGAGAGCGGATTCGGCCCGGTGGGAGGAGAAAAGCGGCGGGCGGGTTTATAGGGCGGGCGGCGGCAGCGGAGCCGGTCCGTACCCGGAGCCATGCGGGGCCGGGGGCTGCTCTGCGGCATCGCCCTCTCGCTGCTGCTGCAGCCACCGCGCCGTGAGTGCGGGGTGCCCCCCGCCCTGCGCCGCTGCCTCTGGCTGCGGGAGCCCCCGGGGAGGGAGGGTGGGAGGATGGATGGATGGGTGGGTGTGTGGGTTGTTTGGGGGATCCTCCTGGTTTTCCTACAACCAGCGCAGAGCTCCTCTCCTCTCCCGCCCCGGCTCCGTGCTGTCCAAGCCCGGGGTGCGGAGGGGCCGGGGGTGCTGAGCGGCTCCTCTTGTCTCCGCAGCCGCAGCGCAGCTGCAGCCCGAGGTGGTGGTGCCGCACTGGGCAGCCCTGGGCGGCCCCGGCAGCCACAAGGTAGGTCATTTCTGGTTTGTTTTCGAGCCTCCTTGCCGTTACCAGGCGCGGGGAAGATGTCGCGGTTAGCGCAGCACCTGGTGATGCGAATTTTGGGTGTGTTAACCTGTGGCGATCCGCGGGGATGAGCCAGGAGCTGCTGCCGCTCCTCCGGATCCCGGGAAAGGCTGGATGAGCTGGCTGGCACATCTGGGCGTTGCTTTCACTCTGCCCTCTGCCATGCCTTAAAACCTCGATCTATATTTACCTGATCTGTGAAACGGTAGTGGGGCCATGCAATCAGTGGCATTTAGGGAACAGCTGAAGAGAGTCATCTGCTTTAGGGGGAGATAAGCCCAGAAAGCCATCTGTATCCTGGGCTGCATCAAAGGCAGTGTGACCAGCAGGGCGAGGGAGGGGATTCTGACACTCTACTCTGCCCAGGTGAGACCCCACTTGCAGTGCTGTGTCCAGCTCTGGGGTCCCCAGCACAGACGGACCTGTCGGAGCGAGGCCAGGGGAGGGCAGTGAAGATGCTGCAAGAGCTGGAGCACCTCTCCTATGAAGAGAGACTAGGAGAGCTGGGGTTGTTCAGCTCGAGAAGACTCTGGGAAGACCTTGTAGCACCTTCCAGTGCCTAAAAGATCTATAAGAGAGCCAGAGAGGAACTTCTTACAAGGGCATGGAGTGACAGGACAAGGGGGAACGGCTTTAAGCTGAGATGTCAGGTTTAGATTAGATATTAGGAAGGAATTTTTGACTGTGAGGGTGGTGAGGTACTGAAGCAGGTTGCCCAGAGAAGCTGTGGGTGTCCCATCCCTGGAAGTGTTCAAGGCCAGGTTGGATGGAGCTCTGAGCAACCTGGTCTAATGAAAGGTGTCCCTGCCCATGGCAGGGGGGTTTGGAACAAGACGATCTTTAAGGACCCTTCCAACCCAGACTGTGCTATGGTTCTGTGAATCCCAGCTGTGATGGTACTTCACTAAAATAAGAAAAGCCAACCAGTAGCTCAGGTGGGTTTAACTGTGTCTTAGACACAGTGTGTGTTGATACAGATCACAGCCCTGCTTCTGTTACGAGGATGGATGGTGTGTCAGTAGTCTCTGGCCATTCTGAGAATTGCTGAGGTGCCAGACTTAGGACAAACACAACTTCTCAGCCTTTGTGTTGTCACAATCAGAAGCAATTACAGTTGCATAACCAAATGAAAGAGGAAAAACCAGAGGGTGTTATTTACGTTGTGAATCAAAAAAAGGGGAAGCTTTATGGGAGATGCCATGATTTTTCTTGAGTATTTATTATTAATTCATTATTATTATTGTGCTGTTATTTGGGGGTTCTAAAACTTATTACTGTGTCATATTACAGCACAAAAGAAAGCTACAGTGATTCTCTCATGATCTTAATTCTCTTTAAAGTGCCCTTGCAGTGCTGCCTGCAAGTTTTGGTTCTGTTATTGATAGTGATGCAAATACATCTGGACAGCGTTTCCCCTTATATAAATTTGCTGAGTCTCAGGGGTTGTACTTGGTTTGTTTCAGGCAAATTCCTGTGGCTCTGAAATGAGTGTTAGCAAAGCTTATATGCAGCTGGGATATTTCAGTTACACAGCAATTGATGGACTCTGGGATTACTGAAGGAGAAGGGAGAGCGATATTCCTAATAATGATGTTTGCACAACCTTTGTGAAGAGACTTTTACGGTGATGGAGGCCCTCAGACCCCCAAGTGCTTACATTTAGTTCGTGAAACAGAATTACCCTGAGATGTACTGAGCATCTGTGGTTGTAAATGAAACTCTGACAGATCTATCATCAGAGAGCCCCATTCAGTCAGTCTTGCTTTATTTCACTTTCTGTTGTTCTGTTCCGCAAAAATCTCTTCCAACACTGATTCAGAAAATACTATGGGTTACTTTTCTCACCAGTTCTCATAATTTCTTTTTTTTTTTTCTTCCAGCTCAATAGAGAAGTGGGTTGTTATCAAATGAGTTATTTCTCTTCTGGGAAATTTGTTCATCCATTTCCTTTAAGAGAAAGCACTCAGACTCAGAAATCCTGAGCTGAGCTTAGGTATAGTGGTCCTTCTTTGAGGGAGGTAAAACCAGAGACCTCAGAGGCTCTTCTAGTTGGTCCTCTAGAAAGCATATTCTATGTTTTCTGTGTTTTGAATGATTCTTTTTTAAATGGTTGGTTTTAGTGTATGCATTTTCCATTCCACTAAGAAATTAGGGTCCATTCTGTTCAAGCAGCAGGACTTAGGGAGCTGGCTGTCCTGTGTCCTCCTTCAGAGCTGCAGATGGATTGCAAGCCAGGGCTGTAGTATGTGCCTGAACACACTAGAAAGTTGCTGTCATGGTTTCCAGTCCCTTGGCAGCCTGGGACTTAAACAACAGCAGCTGTGGAATACTGTCTTTACAATGGCTAGAGCCTAAAGGCATCCAAGGGACCCTGCTGCATGTCTTTTACTGTCTTTTTCTGTGAGTAAAGGAACTATGTGAAAATCTCTGGAAGGGATGTGAATCCCCCTGTCCTGAAATAGGTTCCTAAAAATGTATTTCTGCTGTGACAACAAAGGAAGCTTTGGTTAACTAGCTTGTTCTGGGGCACAGTGTACAGGACAGAGGGGTACAGCAACCTCCTTCCACCCAGCACTCCTTCCAAGCACTCCAGAACTGGCCTGTTCTGAGCCCATTATTCCTCCTGAGACACCAGGATCACTAGCTCAGGTACAGCATCCCAGCAGTGTGCCTGTACTGCTTCCTGGCTCTGCGTGGCTGTGCTGTGGGATGCAGCAGCATTCCTGGAGCTGGGAGCCACCATGGCCCATCCATCTCCTCCCCATCACTTCAGATCTGAAGTAGGAAGAAGGCAAGGAGTGGTTTAAGGTCAGCTGCAATTTCCAGGGGAACAATTTGTGTTTGTGGATGTGTTGGTAGTTATGATGTGTGAGTAACAGGTACCCTCTCCCTCACATGCAGCATCCACTCAGAGCTGAAGTTCTGGTAAAGGCAGAAGGCCAGGAGCTCGTCTTGGAACTGGAGAAAAACAGGTAAGTGTGATTGTGCCTTGCATTGTGATCTCACTAAAATAATGAATAAGGATTACAGTGGAATCAACAGGAAAACCTTCACTGACTTCAACAGGGTTTTGATAAAGACAGGATGAGGAAGTCCTTCTCTGGATTTCAAGGTTATTCCAAGTCTGAGTCCCCTCAGATGTTAATCAGCCAAGCAGCACTGACTGTAACAGAGCTTTGTCAGCAAAAAGCAGATGGTGACCTGATCCTCAGTGTGTAAACTTATTTTTGCATCATAATTCTTACTACAATAACTGTAAAATGTTGCTGATATGAAGTGCCCTATTTACCAAATGGCTCGGTGCTTTAAAGTCAGTGTGACTCTAATGAGGATTTCATTTGCTGTGATCCAAAGAGGTCCTGCTCTGCTTCCTAGGAGAAATGGTCTGACAGTTCCAATTCCATTAGTGCCTTTCATGCTAAAGTAGACTGAAAAACTACTTTTGCATTAAGGGAAATGCAGCCTCCTCACAGGCATGAGACAGCAATGCTGTGTGGTATCATAGGGCACGATGCATATTTAATTCAGCTGAAGCTGCAGGAGATTAAGGTAGGTGGAAGGATTCTGGTCTGGATGCTGCCCCAGAGCCCCTCTGCCCTGTGAGTATATTAATTTCCAGTGGTGGGAGAGCAGCTGCAAACTTAGCTCAAGAAGCCTGTCTGTAGACGTTCTTTCTTGTACTAGTTCTGATGGCAGTGCATAAACCTAAATGATATTCAGAGTGTTTTGGAAGAAAACCAAGTTTTTCATAGCCCTGTCTGCAGTAAAGCCTGAAATCTATGGCTGATGGAAGGAAAGTACCTCCTACAAGATGTTTCCTGTAATAAGTTACATAAGCTATGGAGAGATTCAGCGCTGCAAAAGCAGGGTGCCTTTGACAGGCAGTCATGCACCTGTGTAGAGCTAAACAGAAACAGCTATCAATTCTGTGTCTTTTGGCATCTCTCAGCTGGGAAAATAGAGACCAGGCACCATAAGCACTGCTAACTCAGCCCTGTCTAACACAGGAGAAATAGCTGTTGCTGACGACAGTGGTACCAAGCCAGGCTCTGAACTGAACCTGGAAGCAGCTGATGCTGCTGAGGGTCTGCTTCCAGGACTGACAGGTCTTGCTTATTCTGCAGTTGCTATGCAAAGGTGAATATTTCTGGCACAGTGGAAGCTGGCAAGAGAAAGGATCCTCGCTGAGTTAATCCATTTGTGCTCCAAGCATGGTGATGTAGCCTCCAGGTGCCTCTCGGGAGCAGTGCCATGCTATTTCCAGCACAGAAAAGCTCATTGCTGGTGTTAGTAAACAGAAATACAATAATAGAAGGTTTCTATTGTGCTTATTTCCTGAAGTGCATTTTCATTCATTGAGATGTATACACACAGGGTTAAGCCTGTGCACACACTTCCACTGCGGGATGGATCGCCTTGCTAGGGCTGGTGAAATACAGCAAGGGGTTTGGAGGTGTTTATTTTTTCATTTTTCATTCATTTTTTATTTTCTGTGGCAAAAGCAGGTGATTCATAGATAGCAGTGCTTCACAAGGGAGTCTTGCCTGGCCCAAAGTCTTTGCTCAAGAAAGATGATGATGCAGTGCCAAAATGCAAGTCTGAGTTTGATTTAGTGGAGAGGCTCCACTTTTCAGAGGCTTGTGAAGGTGCAGAAGTAATTTAGAGACACTTAGATTGAAAGTGGAATGATGAAGTCGTCCCTGAGAACCCTGTGGATGCTATTTATCAGAGAAAGTGAAATCGTCCAAGTGGGAATTGCCCCTTCAAAGTTGTCTAAAGTCTGTCTGCTCCTCTGCTCCTGGCTTTGAGTTCACATGGAAGTGGGCATAAGAGAACTGCAACTTCGATGAAGGCTTCTAAAATTAAAATAAGACCCAGAGTTCTGGGTCATTTAACTGCTCAAGCTGAGAGGAGATTTGGAAAACCAGCTTGGCTACCAAGGTTGGTGCTGTGCTCCAGCTCTATTCCTGGGCTCATGACAGGAGTGTGAACACACCTGCCTGGCCCCGGTTTTACTCTTGTATCCACATCCCAGACTCCCATCACTCAAACAAAGCATGAAATGATTGCATAATTTGGGTTTGGTTGGGATATGATTTACCCAACGTTTCCCAAAGCTAGAAAGGAGATTTGCCAAGCTACTAAAACTGCTCAAAGTGATGTTCTTGGGGGATTAGGCAGCCTTGTTACACATTCACCACTGTCCTTATGGAGAGACAGAGCTGATGAGATTGCTTTGAAGAGTGGAGGAAGTGTCATAATCTGTACAGCTTTGGTAGGGATGCACTAGCTTTGGAAGAAACGTGCTGGTTTCAATATGTGGAAGAAATGTTCACACCAAGCCTATGATTTCATATTCCATATGAAAAGGACATTGTGTTCATCCACAGAGGTGAAACACAGGAATTATTGCATATCTTGCTTCAGAGCTGCGCACAACCTTGTGTTTTGTAATAAGCTCAGCACAGATCTGCATTTGGGCTTCATATATTTACAAACACAGTTATTGCATTAGCATAATATTGCATTATTTCCTGCTTGGGATTTTGACAAGAAAGCAGAACCTCACTGTAGTTCCAAGCAGAGTTCATGACACTAGTTAATATTTCTGAATAGCGACAAAAGTATATCCCCCAAACGACTCAGGCTTGTTTTAAATGACTCAAAACCACGTCCTGCAGCTGCGGGATTGGAAAGCTCAAAGCTGCACAAACAACAAATATATGGAGAGATGCCTATAAAGCAGATTTAAATTTGGCTGGGGCTTAGGAGCGGAAGAATCTGAGTTGCAAACCTTGGATGAAAAGTGACTTTTTGTAAAAGGCATTTGCATTTGTTAATAAAAAGCAGCTTTGAGCCAAACAGGGAGGGGATGCTGAGAGCTCTCAATGTGTGTGGCAGCACTGCCTGGTGTGAGCCTTTTCTTAGTGGAGAGCTCTTATTTGCACAGCAGAAACCTGCATGGAATTTGTCTTCTAACCTGAGTTCAGGAAACGTATCAACAAGACTTCCCTCCCTCTTCTCTTCCACTTTGTGTCTCTCATGGGAAGAATGGACTTGGGAAAGGCCCTCTCAGCTGCCAAGGGTAGTGGAGGCTTCTCCAGGGGATGTCCCTGCCTGCAAGTGAATCCTGTGAGCAGCCTGGGTTCTTAGCTGCCTATTTTGGATGCTGCCTGCCCTCAGCAGCCATGATGGCGAGGGGCACTTGGTGGCAGAGCCCCAGAGGAGATGTGCAGCAACTGGCTGAGGACACTGCAGAGGAAGTCTGAAGCTCATCTGGTCTGACCTTGGGAGCCATCCAGATAGCTGGTTTTTTTTCCTAGGCAACTGGATCTGATAGGAAGTGGTATCATTCCCAATCTCTTCTAGCCCCACCTGGGTAGGGGATGATCACTCCCACCCCACTGGATGCTCTCAGCAGTACAGTAAGAGAACTGTGTCACTTGTATTTCACTGTTTCCTGCTTTTGCACATTTCCCAGACCTCTCCTACCAACTGAGTGAGGAAGAGGCAAAGTTGCTGCCCATTTCCGAGCAGGAAGGATATATGAGATTATTCCACTGATGGGCTACACATCATCAATGTCTAATGGTCTTCCTTTGTGGGGAGGGGATAAGGGTTGTGTAAAAGAGGGAAATTGAGTTTATCCTGCTCTACTGTCTCTTGGAGTCATTAGGAAAGTAGGGGTGGGACCTGGAAAGCCATAGCTACTTTTCAGCCTCCTGATTCCCTTGGGTTATTCAGTGATTCCTCTCTGTGGGGCAGAGAGGAAGACACAAGGAAGTGGAGCCTTTTAAATCTTTTGTGCACTGACACATTATCAGCCAGTTTTCCATTTATTTTATTTCCTTTTTCCTCTCTGGGCAACTTTTATGGTTCCTGTTGGTAAGCTGAGGGGCTGCTATGTGACAAATCTTGCTTGGGTCCTTCAACATGATTTACACAGTTAATGTCACAGATGATGCAGATGGCAAAAGGGGATGGAGAGTCTTTAGACTGTGGTGTTTTTCAAGAACTTAAAAATGATTTGTTTAGTTACATCTCAGTGGCTGGGAAGCTACTTTTTCCTTCCAAACTGCTGTGTTTGCACAATAAGCATATTCCTAGCAAAAGCTCTTGAGGAAGGGAGCTTAAGGGCTCCAGGATTCATCTGGATGGAACTCACCAAGAAAAAAATTTTGGATTTCACTGGTTTTATGAAGTGCCAGCTTTTGACTGGAAAATATTCCAGAGACTTGAAATCTCCCATTTCCCACTAGTGATGAATATGGAAAGCAGACCTGCCTGCTCATGTTGTCATAGGTCATGTGTTGGTCGTGTTCAAGTTGGGGTCACTTCAGGTTTTTTTGATAATAAATTCTGACCTTAGGGAACACTTAAGTGACTGGGAGGTTAGAGTTCAAATTCCCCTTCTTACCCTACTTGGATCCTGCTGAGAGACAATGGAGTGGGACCACAATTTGTAGATGGAAATACAATGTCTGAAGTTTCTTGGGAGAATCAATTCCCTCCACCCCCAGATGCTGGCAGCCTGGCTGGACAGATTTATTGTGATTTGAGGAAAGGGACAGGGAAAGAGATGTAAGAGACTGGAGGCTTTACTTTTCTTGGTCCCATGACTGAAAAATTAATGTTGATGTTTCTCACAAGAGCTTCATGGACCATTTGGTTTTTGGTTTGGGGGAGGAAATAAAAAACATGTCCATCTCCTAGATACTACTGGGTGTTTTTAAACTGGCAGCTGTCCATGCAGACCAGCCCCTCTGTAAAAATGAACCCAAACAAGATTGCTAATGGGACCAAATTATAAAAAAATCCTTCTTGCTCCAAATAGCAAGAGCACCAGAATGCTGCCAGGGCCCTCTGGGTGCCCGTGGGTGATCTCTGGCTGGTGGAACTGAGCATATTCATGGTGGTCCACTGGGAGGGAGGGTTCTGAGCCCCTCAGGCTTGTGCTAACGAGTGATGTTTCACAGGCAACAGAAAACTGCTCTCATTTATCAGGAAAATAGGGGTGAGGTTCTCCAGAGCAGCTGGGAAAAGTGCACTCCCTCAAGTGAACATGGTCATGCAAGAAGGGCCTTAATTTTCTTTCTGCTGTTTTTTGGGAGCATTTGGGTGTGCCGTGCAGCCCCTCTCCCCCCTGCTGCTCCTCTGCTCCTCAGCAGTGGCCAGATGAGCTGGAGGCCTGTTCTTGCACCATCCCCAGGAGTGCCACAGGGGCAGCTGCCTGCCAAGAAAGCCCTGCACCCTCCTCCTGTCTCTCCTGTGCAAAACCATCCGTTCATGAGTTGAAGTTATGTGACCTCCCTCAGCACAGAGCCAGGCTGCCATGTCCTGTCCGCTCTGCAGGCAGGGCCCTTCCAGGGAGCAGCACAGGGAGGAGGGCTTTGTGTCAAACAATGATATCATTGACAGGCTGGAGCAGGACCAAGATCCCTCCACGTCGGTCATCAGCAGAAACAGTCCCAAGCCATCTGTACATTATGGCACCGAGCCACTCTTCCTTCGTTTGGCTTCCGTGCTTGTGTTTAACCCGGCTCCCAGAGCTTTCCGGGGAACAAACCCTGCCAAGAGCAGGCTATTCCACCCTGAACTTGGATGCTGAGCTGGACCTTGGGGACTGACTGACCCTGACAAAAGCTGGTCCCTATTGGAAAGGTGTGAGGGACTCTCTAGAACATCCCAAGGGCCCCTGTGTAGCTTACCCTGGCCTCAAATAGGCTGCAGCTGCTGTCGAGGTTTAGCAAAGGAGAGCACTCCCATCCCAAACCAGGTTTTCCTCTGACTTCATCAATTCTTCATCCTGATAACTCCTCTAATGAGGGACTCTGTGCTGCCTTTTAGGAAGATGAAGTGTGCTAAGTGATCTGCCAGCTGCCTGACTGGGTCTCAGAAGCCTTTAGGTGATGTTATTTTGCATCCAAACTTTTGCAGCTTCAGTGTGAGTTCCTGGAGAAGGGGTCACTGAGACATGTAATGTAATGGAGAAGAAGGAATAAAATTGTGCTGTTTTTTCCAGACTTTCCTTTCACCCATCAAGGAGGTGAGCTCTGTGGTCTTCTGGAAATGGTCAAGCAGTTCCATCAGCCCTTTGCAGGGCTGAGCTTCCCTGAAATCAGCTGTTCAGCCTGGCAGCAATGTTGTCCTGAAATGATGGCAGATGAGGTTTTGGGGTATGCATGTCTCTCTCCTGTTTATCCAACAATTGGTACAGGTGGAGAAGAGGGTCAAGACTGGCTGGTAACTCTGGTGCACTCTGAGGTGGCAAGAAGGCTTGTTTGCTGTTTATTTACAGTTTGGTGCTAGCTGAGGAAGTGAGTTGGGCTGGGAATGAACTCTGACAGGCTCATAGTGAGATAGGACCCCAAGTGTGTTGCAAGATGTCCTATTGTTTTCCTCTTTCCTCACTGCCCTCCTCACCACACACTGTGCAATCCACTGTGACAGCCCTTCTTAGCAGTGCTGCAAGAACTCCAGGGCTCCCCTGAATTAAGGGCTGGGAACTCTCTTCAAAACAGGACTGTTTCAAGCTCAGAATAAGAAACTGCACTTTTCATAGGGAGCCTGTGGTGTAGGGTAGGACTCAACTGGTGGAGAGAGGCTTGAAAGTTGTAACATGGAGATGACACAGACTTTCACTTCAGCAGCTGTGCAAGCATCCCTAAAGATTCAGGCAGAGCTCTCAGCTCCTTAATCTACTCTAGAAGGGGCCAGAGCCTGAGTCTGAAGATAGGAAAAGATGTGCACACACCTTGTGTTGTGCAGCATCATCCTGTGCCCTGAAATCTGGTGTGCTGGGCTGTGGTGCTCAGCACAGCTCAGTTCAGCAGCAGGGCTGGGCAGCAGTGCCCTGGGGCTGGGCAGGAGTCACAGCACTGAGGAGTCTTAGGGCTGGTGCTGGAGGAGAGATAAAATAGCTATTCATAGCAAATGCTTTCCAAGAATAAAGGAGCAGGAAGAAAACATAAGCGTGCTTGTTTGAGAATGAGACAAGCAGGCTGTGCAGAGCCTCAGCTACTGTAAACCATGGGCTGGTGTCTGGCTGTAAGAGCACACACACACACTGGTTGAGTGTCTGCTCTCCTGACACAGACCAGATACCTGATACTGCTCAAAACAATTTCCTTGTTAATGCAATCTGTTGATTAAATATTTGTTTATTGCACCCTCATGCTGCAGTCAGGGAGATCAAGGGAGTTATGTTCTGTGGGATGGTGCTGTGGTGCTTATCTTCAGTTTACAGACCTGGGATAGCAAGCTCGCCTTCTGATCTCTGACAGCACTTAGTGATGAGAACTAACACATCAAAAGGTGGCAAAATTAGCTTTTCTGGGCTATGTTGAACTTTAAAAGTGGAGATGAAAGCTGTTGTATTCCTGACATCAAATGCCATCAAACACAACAGTGGCACATGGTTTTGTCTATCACCAAGCCATCGGTACTTATTCAGGTGTGGATGCCAGATGGGCAAAGCACTTTCAAACACTTTGATGAAAGGTTCAGTTTCCTGTCGTTCTGACCTAATTTAATTAGATGTCACAAGCACCCAATCCCTTATTTAAACAGAGAGGCTTTCAAGGTAGATTAGATCTGACTGCCACATACCAAAAGCCAGGGCAGATGGAAAAATCTCAGGGTTTGCTCCTGATTCTTCATCCACCCTAAAGAAATCAGACAAAGAAAAGAAGAAAACTTTTTTTCCCCTTGCATTCTTGCAATTCGTAGTTCTAAAATCTGGTGCATGGAATGCATTAAACAGGGATGTTGAAGGACTGAGCTGCAGCTGCATCTGGTAATGCATTGCCCAGGGTGCATGTGGCATCCTCGTGGAGGGCAAATGTGGCACTCTGGTGGCCTGACAGCACTGTGGGGTTGCTGCAGAAGTGTGTTTCATCGATGGGGCATGTTCTGTGATCCTTCTCCAAATCTTTGGAAGTCAAGCTATTGTTTTAAAAGACTGCTTTAAACCTACATTTATGACTGCTGAGATGGACACAGGATACGACCTTCTTGGTTTGGCCCAGAGTTTGACTTGCTGTACTTTTTTACATCACTGTTTAGCAAATGCAGATGTTTAAAAAGAAGGAGAAGGCTGTTTCCTCTGGAGCAAAATCAAAATGCTTTCTATTCAGTGCACAGGAGCTCCTTTTATAGACTTTTAGTCTGATACTGGGCTGAAGACAGGGAGAATATTGTGTACATGAGGATGACATGAACAAATTCAAATTCAAGAATCAGCATTTTCCTGGAACAAAGATGTGAATTGGCTTCTGGGCAGAAGTTGAAATGCAGATGCAGATTGGTTTATAATTGTACTCAGATTTGGGCACTGGAGGCAGTCTGGATTTGAGCTGAGAACACACATCAGTGCCCAAATGTGTCCTGAACTGGCCTGTGGTGAGCTTGTTAGGCTGGACTTGGTGCTTTGAATCTAATCCCAGTATATCTGGGGTATAACTTGGCAATAGAGAGGAAATTGCAGAGACTTGTGCCCATTAGGGGTCAATGCTGATGTTGGGTTTGTGTTTGTTGGGGTTTTTTTTGTTTGGTTTTTTGTGTGTGTTTTTGTGGGGTTTTGTTTGTTTGTGTTTTTTGGTTGTTTGTTTGTTTGTTTTTAAAGTTTCCATGTAAAAATGGAGTTGTTCACTTGCAGCTGTTGCAATTGGATCTTGGTGCCTGATTGAACTCAGGGACAGGCTCTCTGTTATTGTTTTAATTTAATAAATGGCTTGAAAGAGCACTTAGATAGCTTGCTGCACCCTTTCAGAAGCGGATGTGCTCCCTGAGAAGCGCTCAGCTCCTGCCAGGGCACACAGATTGATGTGGCAAGGTCAGCTGTGCTTCCGCCTCCTGACCCTGTGCCATCACAGCGTGCTCTGTGGCACGGTCCTGCAGTGGCTCTGGAGCCGCCAGGAGCTGCCACTGCTCCCTGGGGACAGCGTGCTAACAAGGGCCTAGCAGGCAAAACCTGCTGATGTCCCAGAGCAGAGTGCAGAGGTACAGCAGAGCTGGTGTCCTGGGAATACCTGCCTGCCCTCACAGGCTGCTGCAGTTGGTTTTGCACTGCAGGCAGAAAACAGTGACTGCCCCGAGTCCACAGCAGCGGCTCACAGCAACAGGAATGTTTACACTGACTGCAGGAAGAGCTGGATCTAGCTGATTTTCTAGCACCCCTGCAAAGCAGAAATCCATGCCTAAAGAAAGGTCTAACTGGCTTTCTTTTTTTTTTTCCTTTTCTTTCTCCCCTTCCGCTGTTTCTGCAGAAACCTCTTTGCACCAGGCTACACCGAGACCCATTACAGCCACACTGGGCAAGCCCAGACCACCCCCCTGACCCACACGGTGAGTGCAGAGCATGTTCCCTCCCACAGCTGCAGGGGAGACCAGGCAGGGGGCTCGGAGACATGGGGTAAGCTCTTCCTCCAGAGCCTTTCTTTGAGTGCACAGGTCCCCACAGCTTTAAGCTGAAGGGGAGGGTAGTCTGGCTTTCTGACCTGGGAGGTTCCAGTGAGAAAGCTGCTCCATCCCCCAAAAATGGTAAAAACATCTTGCTGTTTTGCTGAGCTCTGCTATGAGAGCCAAGGTCAGCCGCCAGCGCTGCTCCCCTCTCTCTGGGTGCTGGGGAATCATTTTTTCCTCGCGCTGCTCATCCTCTTGCTTTTAGTTTTGCCACTGGGCACTCCATGCTGGGGACCTTCCCAGCCTTTGGAAAAACAAGCCCCTGTGAGCTGGCTGCTGTTCAGTAAGAGTCCCATAAATCTCCCATCTCACGCGGGCCTTGGCTGGCTCTCTGCTGCAGCAGCACAAAGATGTGCATTGGTCGTGAAGCAAAAATAAGAGATAAAATCCCCATGAGATCATCTTTCCTAACGCTGCCCTGGGGTGAGGGGAAGGGATATGATGAATATGTTGGCGATTCTGCCCCAAAGCCTCCTTGTCCCCGCCAGAGGCTGTCTTTGTCTCGCCGGGAGCCCCAAGACAGGGGCTTACTCCCCCATTGCCCATGGTGTCACCCTCTGTGGGGCTGAAGTCACGTCCTTTGGGGCCTGACCCAGGGCCAGCTGCCATCGATAGGCAGCTCCTGTTACAGGGCAGAAAGCTTTGGGTCGTCCTTAGCGCTGCAGCCATCTGAGTTGCTTCCCTGGGGATTCAAAGCTCTCAGTTTTTACTGGCAACAAGGAGCTGTTTGATGCTCTGGCACAGGCCACGCATGGCAGCTGAAAGGCCACATTTCGATGCGGAGTCACAGAGATTTAGCGGTGACAGTCAGCTGCCAAACGCAGCGGAAAGAGAACAATTACTGGAGCACTGGCAGGGCCCGCACGGGACTCGGCGATGCCTAAATATAGCTCGTGTCCATCCCAAGAACTCCATTGCCAACCCTGCCTCCCTCTGCCTTCCAGGACCACTGCTTCTACCACGGGGTGGTGCGGGGCCGGGAGCACTCCAGCGTCACGCTCAGCACGTGCCGAGGGCTGCGGTGAGTGCCTCTGCCCTGCTCCTTGGTGTGCTGCCACCTGAGCTCTGCTCCCCAGCAGCCTGGCTGCCCTGTTTCTCTCTGTGTGGATAAAGCTGTTCTCAAAGGCCACCCACCCAACAGACCTGGGCATTAAAAGGAGCATGTTGGGGAAAACGCAGCAATTGGGGTGTCATTAGTAACCACAGCTCCTGGTTCCTTCCCCCTGGGTGCTGGCAACGTGGGCTGCTGCAATCACTGAGTTCAACTCAAGAGTCCACTGGAGCAAAATGCTCTTTTTAGTGACTCAGGGCTGCATCTGTTACAGGCAGGGACAGGACTCACCATGTCCCAGCCCAATGCTCTACACTAATGCAGAAACCAGCTCCTTCTCCCAGACTCTCACAGCTGGCAAGTTTGTGTTTGTGCTTTGGGGCAAAGTCTTCCAAGTCTGAATTTCCTCCTGGGTTGTCAGCCCTGCTCTCTGCTCTCTCCCTGGGTGGTGCCAGCACTGTGTGTGCATGTTGTGCACGAGAAACCTTTGCTTTGGCAGTGATGGAGTTCGTGGCAGGAAAAGAGGGGTTTTTGTCCTCAGCCAGGAGTAAATGAAGTGGTTCCTTGCAACCAAGGAGCTGCATTCATTTGCACCAGCTCAGAGTTTGTTTCCAAAACGTCACACGGGCTTTATTGACATTTGTGGTCATCTGCTCTGGAGCGCTGATTGGAAGCTGTGCTGATGGGACTGGCTCCAGCCAGGAAACAGCCTGGGCCAAAGCAAACCTGAGACATCTTCAGTGAATGTAGCATGGGCCAAAGAGCCCAGTGAGATAAACATGACAGTGCAGCCACCTGTGGCTTACAATAAATAATCCAAAAGCAAAAGCAGTCGCAGGTGTGCTGTGCTTCTGTCAGCCTGTGTTTTCCTAGGCTCTGCCTTCCAGCTGCAGAGGGACAGAGATGTTCACTGTGCCCAAGCAGCGGGGTTCCTGCATCCCTGAGTTGTCAATGTCTGCTGGCAACTCTTTGACATTGTTAGAAAACTTCTGGGGAGGCACAGGAGCTGAGCACACGTGGCTGTTCTCACTCTGAGCCTGCACAGGGAGGTGTGCTGCCCATTGAGCCACATGTCTTGTAGAGGGCAGAGAACACAGAGTTCCAGCTTTCCTGGCTGTAGCATGCTCATTGAGAAAACCAGAACCATCTGGCTATGTGCACTTGACTGCGAAAACTCTCTTTTTTCTGTTGACAAATAAAGTCTTCACATTTATCAGGTCAGTTCTGTTAGAGGCAAATTTCTTCTATTTGTTGAAAAGCTTCCACTGCCCTTAAAAAAAACAAACTGTATGTGAAAAAAATCAGTACTTCTCAGGTTAGCACTGTTACAGCACATACTCCAACAGTCCCTTAATGCCTGAGGCCCACTGAATACATTTTAGTATATGGAAGCTCAGGGATTTCCCCCTCTGAACTCAAAATATTCCTATCCTTTTTATTAATGAACTGACTGGCCTGGTAAAGATAAGTGTCTTGCTAGGGTCAATTGGGAATTCAGCAGCAGCAGCAGCAGAAGGATTTGTCTCCAGTTGCTGTGATAGTAATTAACTTTCCCTTTTATTGCTTCCCTTTTCAACAGAGGACTTATCGTTTTGAGCAGCAATTCCAGCTACATCTTGGAGCCAGCTCCCAACAGCCCAAACCAGCACTGGATTTACAGGGTGGACAACCTGAGATTGCAGAGGGGAGCCTGTGGCCACCAGGACACTGGGGATGCAGCTGAAGACTGGCTCAGGGACTTCACAACTGGGATGAAACCACCACGCCAGAGGGTGAGGGGCCTCAGCCTGGGTCCACGCATGATGCTCCAAGCCTGCTGTTCTCTGGGAGCATAGCTCAGAAAGTGAAGTCAAGGAGAATATTTAAGAGGGTTTGTAGCAAGTTGGTTGTGAAATAGCAGCTCCAGCAGGGAAATAAGTGAGTATTGGGGACTGTTGTGGGCTGTAGCTGTTCCTGCACAAATCTCTGCGTCCAACGCAGGAGCAAAGGGGTGGGCTGAGGACAGGCATGGGGCTGGCTGAGGACGTAGCTAAACTGACTTGTGATACTTGGTTGCTCTAAGTCAATCACATCTGGAGGTTCCTGTGTGTGATGGGGTGGGCTGAACAGCTAGTGAGAAACAAACTGGGAAAAATGGCCTGTACATATGCTTTGTGAAGAGTTTCTTGGGGTATGTTGGAGAATAACCTGTGTTGCTGCTCCTGCAGGTGAAACGGGACACTCTGCAGGCTACAAAGTACGTGGAGCTCCTGCTTGTGGCTGATTATGCAGAGGTAAGAAATGGGGTCATGTTTATACCAATGGAGCACCATCCCTCCTGCAGCATCTCCCAGGGCAGGGAGGGCAGCTGGAGCTCAGCAGGTTTCCTCTTGCCATCCCAATGCTCCCATCCTCACCAGCAGCCGGGGAGAGCTGTGTCTTGGTCACCTTTGTCCTAGCAGCCATGACCCCTCTGCCACCACCATCAGCCACTGTGGGCCAGGGGAGAGGTGCAGGTTGTGATTTGGAAGAGGGAGGAGGGTCAGTTCTGACCTCCCAAGGCAGCAGTGGTTGGTCCTGGTTATTGGTGGGAGAGATTGCCTTCAGCATAGGGGAACTTGGGGGTTTCCAGACATGATGTGCTTCTAACTCTGCAGCACACTTAATCTCCAGAGAAGATAACCATGATTATGCTCTGCTCTGAGCTGGTAGCAGATACATAAATAGACATTTTTAAGGCTCCAAATCACATAATAGGTCTGGAAGAAGTCGAGTGAAGTCAGCAGTCCCTCCCCCATCCCCAGCCTGGACAGCATGCCAGACACACTTACTGACAGTGCAAACCACACACTGTTTTGCTGATTGTTTAATCTCCAGCACAGACGGGAGTCAGGCTGGTCCTATCCATAATTTACAACTTGAAACTCCAGTAGGGAAAGCCACACAGTGCTCTGGGCTATAATTCAGTCTGAACAAAACTAAAGAGGCAGAACCTATTTTGGTTTCTCTATTAGGCAACAGGACACCAGGGAAACTGAGAAAACACAGGAACTGCCATATGTTGTTCAGCATTTTTGATTAGATAGGCTGGGGCAGACACCCTCACGATTGTTGTCATTAACTGCCCTTACTTTACTGTGTTCCCCACTGGAAGAAAACTCCCAGGTTTTGTCATCTGTAAAACAAAAATCTAAACATTTTGCCAATGTAATCCTTTGAATCAAACAGTTTGCTAAAGTTAACTCATTAATTGCCAGGTGATTTAAACAGGCAAATCGGTTGGATGAGCGAGATGTGATGAGCACTGTGGCAGCCTTGGCCTCAAAGATGAAGTCATGTTACCACACATTTTACCTGGCACCTTTTTCAGCTCCTTGTCAGCCCCTGGCTCTGGGGGCACTGATGAGTTCGGGTTGCTCCACTGTGTTACTGCCACTGCTTGAGTAACATCACTGCAGTGGGGTGCCAGGGGTGAATTCTATATAAACATGTACAGGGTGGGCTTACAGTCAGGTGTACAATGAAGGGAGACTTTCAGGCCTCACTTCATAGTTACCTTCTTGTTCTCAGAGTAATGGGACTTGTCTTCCTGGTTGCCTTTGTGCTGCTTGACATGTTTGTTTTGTTCAGTTTCAGAAGCATCACTTCAGCATTGAAGCAACGAGGCTTAAATTGGTGGAGACTGCTAATTACGTAGATAAGGTGAGTTTGGGGGTGTGTGAAATGAGGAGAGCAAGGCCCAGATCATGAAATATGAGAATTGTGACAGAGGAAGACTTGTTTCTTGGGAGGGAAAGTAATGTTTTGGCAGTTCTCCCAAGTGACTTGGGGAGTGGAGAGCATCTGCCAAACAACTGTGCTGTTGGACATCAAGAATGGGGTGGGGGAATCTCCATTCCTTACCTTGGAGCCAACATGAGCATCTTGTGTTTTACTGCATCTCTGTATTACATTTGTTACCTAAGTAATGCTTTTAGACAAGGGACTAATGTATTCACTCGAAATGGCAGAAAACTTGGGAAGTAGAGCTGGAAGGAGCCTTCAGAGCTCATTCTTCAAGTGCTACGCAGTGCTGCTGAAGTAAACATTCCTACTTTTCAGGTTTACTCCCTTCATACTCCCCTTCTCCCCTTAAACTCTTTCCACCACTCCCTTCACGCTGCTGCCCATAAATACTTCTCCTGTTTGTACTTGGTGTGGGCAGCAGATTATTTCCTTCCTTTTTCTAGGAATTTTGACATATCTAAAGATGAAATATGGTGTCAGTCTCCAGTCTTTGTTCTCTATATTATGTCTGTCATTCACTCAAAAATGAAAGTTCTATGTCTCTGTTACAGTCAAGTTTAGGTTTGTGGGTGTTTTCACGTTTCTCTCTGCAGAGCTATGGCACTGAGTTGCAATGCATCTCCAGAGGGAGCACCTCCTCTGGACATATGGATTTCTAGTATCAATTAGCAGGGTATATATTCAAGATTTAAAACACAGTAAAATAAATCTGTGGTGCTTATTTTACGATCTCTTTTCTCTATCTTAGTTTTACCGATCCATGAACATCCGGATTGCCTTAGTGGGGCTGGAGATCTGGAGTAACTGGAATAAATGTGATATAACTGAGAACCCCTACTCCACCCTGAAGTCCTTTCTGGCCTGGAGCAGCAAAGAGAGGGTGCACAGGAAACACGATAATGCCCAACTAATCACGTAAGTCGATTTCCCCTGTTTCTGACAAGTGGGTTGAGTGGGTGGAAAATTGCTTTGTAAGACTGTATTGTTCTAAGATTCAGAATGGTAGATTTATGTAGGGGCTGCTCAGCTAGGATTCAGCTCCAGCCCCCAAACACAACCATTTTAGGAAGAGTGGAGGTCCTGGGCTGTGCAGGGTTCTCAATACAAGTGCTTCAAAGTGCATCGCCATTACTGTGTATCGCAACCAGCTGCACGTGATCTGACACAGCTACATGGGCAATTTCAAGAAAATCCAAACCATAAGCAAGACCTGTAAAGGGGAGCTCAGCCCTTTGTGGAAGGCACTCATCCCTAGCTCATCACACTGAGACACAGGGTCCCAGTCCTGGGAGCTGCTGGCCTGTGACTGATGGCTGATGGCCCACTGATCTCATTAGGGCCAGCAATGCAGATGTCATTGGAAGAAAAAAAATTTGCAGCAACTCTCAGATCTCATTACCTCTTCTATGGTAATTCATCCACCAGAAAATAGTGGTGAGTCAGAGGACCTGTAGGACTGAAATGCAGAGATATATTGCCTTTTCTCTTGTTTTGTTTGGTTGAGGTGTTTTCACTTTAACTTTATTGTATTTTGTCTTCACCTGGCCATGTCCTCAGCTCAATATCCAGGGCTTCCATTTCAGACATGCTGTCAGGGATGGTGCAGAATTCCAGCTCACCAGGCAGGAGCTGAGCATGGCTGCACCTCAAAGGTGTTACCTAGTACTCTGTCAAATCCCTGAATCCCAAGCTGCCAAATATCATGCTTAGGGTAAATTAAGTATTCACTACTCAGCTAAGGATCCAGAAACAGTCTTTTCTGTGCTTGTTGCAAAGCTCAGCAGGAGCACTTTTTTGGCACCAGACCATTATCAAAAATAGGATTGTCTGGCTGGCCCATAAAACAAAGCAAGAGTCCAAGCAAAACAGATCTTAAGGCTTTGTAGCTCTGCTGTGATGTCCTGTACTTGAACATGCTACCAAAGACAACGTGTCCCCCTGACATTGTGTCTATCTATGAAGCTGTGCACTGCAGGGTTTATTTCTCTGCCTGCCTTCTCAAGTGCCTCAGTGCCATTTCATGGTCTTTCTGGGTTGATTTTAGGGGTGTGCCCTTCAAAGGTACCACGGTAGGCTTGGCTCCCGTGATGGCCATGTGCTCTGATTTCCAGTCAGGAGGAGTAAACATGGTAAGTAATGGCTAATACCTAATATAAAGTTTTCTTGCCAGCAGTGAATACATAGATAGATGCCTCCAAAAGCCCAGGAAGAAAATATTTCCTCTGAAGTTCTCCAGCTCACCTGCTTATAGGCAGGAGTACCTTCAGTAGATATTTTCTACCTGTAGTAAAGAGCAGTGCCACTTCCCCCACTGACACAGAGGTGCACAGGACAGGCACAGGTAAAATGCTGATGTGCCTCTTTGCCCTTGCACAGGACCACTCTGATAATGCCATTGGTGTTGCTGCTACCCTTGCCCACGAGATGGGACACAATTTTGGCATGAATCACGACTCAGCTGGCTGCTGTACTACCCCTGCAGCAGATGGAGGCTGCATCATGGCTTCTGCAACAGGGTGAGTTCATCTTACGTGGTCTCATGGGGAAATGCAAAGGGCTTTGTTACAAGAGCCTTGGTGGAGTAAGAACTAGAAATGCAGACTGAAGGTGAGTCTGTTGCTGCCTGCTGGAGGCAGTGTGTTTATAGAGAAAGTACTGCTGGGCAAACCCTGGATCATGGATCAGCAGCAATTTGCTAAATTCACAATGAACTGATTGCTGCCTGAGTAGGCTTTAGGCCTGAGCTTGGCCTTAGGTAATGTAGGCACCTGGCAGCATTTAGAAGTGGAGCTCTAGACTGGTAAAAAAGGAAAATTGTCCTCTTCTCTTTTCTTAAGAATATTCCTTAGTTTCAGTGAGCCTGTATTTGAAAGGGAACAAATAGTCAGCTTTGAGAGAAAGGGAAGCAAGAGTGACTCTAGAAACCCACAGGGGATTTAATAGCTCATTTTGGAAGAGGAAACAACATAATTCACTCACGAAACATGTCAGACAAATCCATTCACTTAAAGCCTTATTCCACTTTTCCTCAAGCCTTCCTCCTTGGGGTTTAGAAGGTTTTTTTCCCCCAGATATCTTCTTTTCTGTGTGTGGTTTCCTCTAAATAAGAAAAAAACCATTTATTTGAGAAGTGAAAATGTAGTGGCACGCAAGTGGCACACAGCATGCACACACCCATGCATGGTCATCCACAGAGTGCAAGGTTCTGGCACTGTAGTAACAGAAATTAATAATTCGTGTAACAGAAAATATATTCTTCAAAATGAGGCTGTAGAATTATTAAATTAAAGGAAAAATTAAATGTTATTTTTAGCAGTTAGGTTCAAGCAGTTATTCACAGGCTGAGTGCTGGATTCCAAGGCTTGTTCAAGCAGTTAGAAATAAGCCATAGCTTATTTCTGAGCAGGTAAGGACAGCCATGCTTGCCAAAAGTCAAATCTAACTCAACATATTTTGATCCTATAAAGTTAATTTGTTAAGGCCATTCTATTACTAGACAGTCTTGCAGTGCAGTCTCATTTTGTCTTCAAGTGTAATTCAGGAACATGAAATCACCATCTGCTTTAGCACAACTCCATAGATTTTGGCATTTGTCAGGATTTGTGTGTGCTCATTTCTGGTTCTCTAAATCATTGCCCAGATCTGCCTTGATGTTTTTTCTCTGCTGTCTGTGTTCAGGCACCCATTCCCCAAGGTGTTCAACCAGTGCAATAGAAGAGAGCTGGAGAATTATCTGCAATCTGGTGGAGGCATGTGTCTCTCCAATATGCCAGATACCAAGAAAATGTATGGTGGAAAAAAATGTGGAAATGGCTACTTGGAAGACGGGGAGGAGTGTGACTGTGGAGAGTTGGAGGTAACAATTGTTCAGATCCAACCATTTGGGGTTTAGTGGGACACAATGGGTTTTTTTACTTATTTTGCAAATACAGTTATGGGATCTGTAATCAGCTTTTCTTTGTGCAGGAGATACACACACCTTCCCTGTATGTAAATGCAAAGCAAGGTTCAGTATCATGTCCAACTTCACAGTGTGTAGTACAGAGCATCCCAGAACCCAGGGATGGTGTGATCCAGGGCTGAACAGAGGTGATGAAAAGTTCATTTAAAAAAGAGAAGAAAAAGTGATTTTAGATCACAGATCATTAAGGTTGGAAAAGACCACCAAAATCATTGAGTCCAACCTTTGATCACCACCCTGTCAACAAGACCAGAGCACTGAGTGCCATGTCCAGTAGTTTCTTGAACACTTCCAGGGATGGTGACTCCACCACTCCTCTGGGCAGCCCATTCCAATACTTAATAGCCTTTTCTGAGAAGAAATTCTCCCTGATGTCCAGGAAGAATTCTTCCAGATGTTACAGTCCCATATGTAAGTTCCCTTTATCTACAGCTCCATTCCTGATAAGGATGGGGCTTCTCTTAGCACTGCATCTCACTTCTCCAAATCCATCCTTTGACTAATAAGAGAAAAGGGAGCTGGAACCAGCAGCCCAGACTGTCCAGGTGCAATGAGCACAACCAATAGTATCTAGGCAGTCCATCAGAGGGTATGGCTGTGCAGTGCTGTGTGTCATGAGCACACTGTGGAAGGGAGGAAGGTACTTTGTTTGCTTGTAATTCGTCGCGTATGAGAGCAGATCAGTGTCAGCCTCACGTCTGCCCTGTAAACTCTGCTGCATCTCCCTGTCTTCCAGGAGTGCAACAACCCCTGCTGCGATGCCAGCACCTGCTCCCTGAAGCCAGGTGCTGAATGTGCCCACGGCAGCTGCTGTCATCAGTGCAAGGTGGGAGCTCTGGGTTTTCCTAAGGGGAGAGAGAATAACGGGGGTGGAATTGTGAGGCTGGAAACTGGAGGGGAAAGGGAGCAAATAGCCCAGTAGAGGTTAGATCCTCTCCTGGTTTGATCTTTTAGGTACAACAGCTACTACTGCAGTCAAACTGGTGGGGTTCCTTTCTTCTGGCTGTCTAATTTAATTTGCTCCTGTGATAACTTAAGATGAGCTGTGCATGCTGTTGGAATGAAGTCACTCTGCCTCTCCCAAACACTTAGGGATGGGGCTAATCAGAGTTAATATTTCTCTCCTTTGGCTCCAGAAGAAATCTAGACAGAGCTCTTGGAGCAAACACTTCCTCTGGGGTGTAGCCTGGATGCTGTCTTGGCTCCAAACCCTCTTTTCTGAGGTGCAGTTGAATTCCTTTAGCTCAGGTGCTTGCTGAAGAAATGCTGGCAAAGAGAATTATATATCTGTGACTGCTATAATTTTAAATCCCAGCATTCCTTGTAGAGACTGGTTAAAACATGTTTCTGATTTTGGAGCCAAAGATCTCAAGCTTTGACAGCAAATTAATTAAAAAATGGAACATAGGCAATAATTTCTCTTAGTCTCATTGTTTGCACATCGATTGCTTGCTCTTACTGACCTTTCCTGAGCATGTGAAAATCCACCTGGAGTCATTCCCTTCACAAAAGACTTGGAACAACTTCCTAGATGTAATTGGGTATGCCCTTTGTTCTCCATGTGCGTAGTGGACAGGAGAAGAATGAAATGAGTAAACTCATGGAGCAAGGGAGACATACACTATGCATTAGGAGAATGTCTCCAGCAGAAATGACAGGCAAACACTGGAACAAACTTCCCAAACAGGGAGGGTTTTGAGAACAGATTACACAAATGTCTGTCAGAAATGGTCCAGGCAAATTGGATCCTACCCAAGGGCAGAGCGAGATGGATCAGTGTCCCCATGAGATCCAGCAGCATCTGTGAATGATCTCACTGCTACCTGGGGAAGGGATCCAGTCATTAATTTGATTCCACACAGTTCACCCAGTTAATGAAATTATGGTTATATGAGTCACTGCTGACCTCAAAAAACCTCAAGACAAGGAAGATGAAGTGACACACATGCAAGATGCTGTCTTATCTACAGGGAGACATTGTGCAGACACCACAAAGAAGCCAAGCAATAACTCCCTTTTTTTTTCCCCCATTGTCTCTTTTTAGCTGATGTCTCCAGGAACTCTCTGCAGGGAAATGTCAGGACCCTGTGACCTCCCAGAATACTGCACTGGCGAGTCAGCCTTTTGCCCCCCCAACTCTTACCAGATTGATGGGGCTCCCTGCGACAGAGGAAGGGCCTATTGCTACAGTGGCATGTGCCTCACATACAGGGACCAGTGTGTGCAGCTGTGGGGGCCTGGTAAGGCAACAGGCAACCTTCTGTGGCATCCTGCTGTTATTCATCCTGTGCAAGGCAGTAGCACCTCCCATACCCGTTATCAGTGGCAAAGTCTGGGGAGCCTTTTCTCCTGCCTTACTCACCTGGAGAAGCCAGCAAAAATTTCCCATGCTCAAAGCATTCCAGAAAGAGAGCAACTGAGTGGTTGGCCTGGGGTGAGATGGGCTGCCAGGCTCCTCAGGAATCAGCCACAGCAGTCTCTTCCTTGCAGGAGCGTGGCCAGCACCAGATGCCTGCTTTGAGAAGGTTAATGCTGCTGGAGACATCTATGGGAACTGTGGGAAGGACATCTATGGGAACTACAGGAAGTGTGATATCAGGTACAGAGCAGAGTGGCAGCCAAGACCTGCTCATTGGAGAGTATGTTTCTATATATTACAAAATTATGGGCCAGTAGATAAAACTGATCCATGCACTGGTTTTACTCCCTCCCTCTGCCTCCTGGGAATCCAGCTGCATCCTTGTTGAACTTAGAGCCCTTAAAACTGAAGCTTTCAGTTCACCACTTTCCTACCTTTTGCATTTTCAAACATCTAGTTGATTTTTTTTTTCCCAAAAGCAACAGAAGAGGGGATTTTTAAAACTGTAAATGAAACGCGGCTTTCTATCTGAGACAAAACTTTCTTAGTATTAACTGTGGTTTTGTTGAGGTTGGCATGGGGACATCACGGGGACATCACCCCCCATCCATGGGGACTGTGAGATGGTACCATGAGTTCCCATCAGACACTGTTGCTTGGGCTGGTTCTTGCTCATCGAACAATGACTCACCGCTGCTGCTTTAATTTACGTGTGGAGCTGGTGCCTGCAAAACATCCAGCAGGCCAGAAATAATCACTTTAGCCTCTCTCTCTCTCTCTCTGAAATCAGAGATGCCAAATGTGGGAAGATCCAGTGCCAGAGCTACGCTTCCAAGCCCCTGCAGCCCAACGCTGTGGCCATAGACACAACGGTCAACACGCAGATGTGCCGGGGGACCCACGTGTACAGATCGGACAGCGAGGAAAAGGAGATGCTGGATCCTGGCTTGGTGCTGACGGGAACAAAGTGTGGGAGCCATCATGTAGGTACAGTTCTGCCTGAAATGGCTCGGGGGGAGGTTTCAGCATACCAGTTTTCCACGCAGAATGTGCTTTTCGGTTATCAAGCCTTTAATTTCTCATGTCCGACGCCTCTCTAGGAGATTTTTATATTTGCTGGAAAAATAATTTCTTAGAGGCTTCAGAGAAAAGAACACACACTACAGGCCTTATGTTCTTGACAGATGAAGTTCAGGGCCAGTGCTACATTTGGGATTTGCTAGTTGGTTGAGGTTGTCTTGCTTAGAGGTGAGACACACAATTAGAAATCAAGATATGTGATAACTCCTTCAGGGACTTGCCATGGGTAAGCCAAGTTATTGCCTGCAGAGCACCCACTCCTCTGATGCACATTAGGTGGGATTTAGGGATTAACTGTTTGCTTGGGAACCAGGTTACCTTCATGGCCTGTTGTTCTGCCCAGGGAATTAGCTGCATTTCCAAGGTGTCTGGGACCCCATGAGTGACAAAATAACACAAGGCAGTAACGCGGTAGAAAACTCACCAGTGCTGAGTGTTTGGATCCTTTCTCTGCAGGTTTGCTTTGAGGGTCGCTGCCAGAACACATCCATCATCTTTGATTTTGAAAGCTGTAGCAAGAAGTGCCATGGGCATGGAGTAAGTGTCTTCCTTTTCATCTCCATTTCAGGCTGGAGCAGGATGGGCTGCCATTCTTCTGTGGGTGGTTGTTCAGCTCAGTTCTGATACCATGTTTAGGTTTGCTCCAGACTTTGGCTTCTTGGTTATTAATTTGCACATTCCTTTCCTGTTTGATGCATTTTCTGGTCCATGAGCTTCCCTCTGACATATGATTTAAGGAGGTTTATTGGAGGGATATGAATTGCAATGAATGAAAAACAAGAAGGGGCAATCTCAAAGAGGAATCTTCTGGGCCCAGTTTAGATTGAGTGAAAAAAATATATCAGATTTTCCGAAGGAAAAACAGAGTAAAAATTCACATTTAGAACAGTTTATCCCAAACTGCTCTACAGTGCCCCCAGGGGATGGAAAGAAAAGACAGATATGAATGGCTCAAGCTATTTGGCCTAAACAATGAGAAATCTTCACTGGATGAAAGGAAGAGTAGTATCCTTCTATTTAGAGATAAGAGAAAGGTGTTTCTAAAAGCTGCATTTCTCCTGAATTCAGGTTATTGGTACTTCAGCTAAAGAACCCTTGTCATTTGGAGAAATGGAGAATATCTGAGGCAATAAGAGGCACTTTCACTCCCTGAAAAAAACACAATTTCCAGGCACTTAACTCCCTATTTATGCCCATGAGAGTTTCTTCTGTAGTGTTTTATTCAGCAATGGCTTAATTTGTTTTAGTTTGAAGGTTTCTTAGTAGCTGGCACTAAAGTCTCTGAATTCTCCTACTCCAGGTCTGCAATAACAACAAGAACTGCCACTGCAACCAGGGGTGGGAACCCCCGTTTTGCAACAAGGAGGGGAGGGGAGGAAGCTTGGACAGTGGTCCCCCCGCACCTGAAGGTGAGTGGGACCAACTCTGTGATGGTACCACTTCAGAAGGACCTGTGTTTGTTTGAGAGATTTTCATTTAACAAACTCTACTTTCTTTCCCTCAGGCTCTTCAGCAGTCGTGATAACTCTTGCAGTCCTGGCTCCCATTCTCCTTCTCATTGGAATCATGTTTTTATTCTATTATTTGAAATGCTGGAATAAATTTGCCATCTGTTCCCTAAAGAAGACACCACAGTTCAGGTGAGTTGTCAGTGCTGTGCTTTGTATTCTTGCACCCCCTCCCACCTTCAGTGCCAGGACAGAAGAGATTGTAAAGGCTGTGAGGAGTGTAACTAAATGAGTTTGTTGGTATAGTCAGTATTTGCTTCTCTTTTTTTTTTTTTTTTTTACTTTGGTGAAATTAAAATAGAAAATACAGGAAAAAAAAGAGAGAAAAATTTATCAAGGCAATAACGCTCTTTTCTTTCTCTTGTTGTCAGTGACACCTCTGGAACTGGGCATGCAAACCCTGCCTTCAAGCTGAAAACCCCCCAGCAGCAGAGGAAGGTAGGGCCAAGGTCACATTCCAACTCCTGGGGAAGAGAAGCAGCTGCCCTAAGATGTGGGATGTGGTTCCCTCTCACACCGCTGTCAGGGGCTGGTTTTAATAAAGAAAAAGATAGACAGACATCACCTGTGGCTGAAAGTCAGTGGGAGCTGAATGTAGTACCTGTTTTTAGGGATTTCCTTATGGGCAGGACCTGGGCTTTGACCAGGCCTGTGTAGCTGCTCGTCTCTCCTGGTAGATCCTCTGCTCTCACATCCCCCTCTTAGAACTGTAAAAATGGCAAACCTGGAGTTTATTTGCAAGCAGCACAGTAGGGCTTGGATTACTCTGTTTCTTTGATTCCCATTTATGACTCATGATCTCAAATTGTCCCCATCTACCTAATCAATGTCCACTAGACATAACAACACATGCTGATGCTGCAGGCAATATTTTCTGCTGTGGCTCACAGACCTCACGTGGATCCTTAAAAGTATCGCAGAGTAAAGAAGTGGTTTGAAGCGGAAATACCTAACTCTTGGGGTTTGTGGGTCTTCTGCACAGGTGATTGGCCTCCCCGAGATCCCGCCAAAACCTCCTGCCCAGCAAACTCCAGGGTTCCAAGCAAGCAGGCAGCAGCCATCTGCCCTCTCCTCCAGCTCCAGCTGCGGCGCGGGGCGGCCGGCGGGGCCGGCACCTGCGAGGGACGTGGCCCGGAGGACACCCCCGAGCAGGCCGGCACCTCCTGCTCCCAAACCCCCCTCTCTCAGGTATGGAGTTGTGACGCTGTCCTGCAGATGCTGTTTTGTTGGGAGGTTTGTTCTGTGAGAGGCTGGTGAAGCCCCTCACCCTGGGGGGCGTAGGAGTTACCTCGATCAGCAGAGCGTGCTCCATCTCCCCACGGGACAGATCCTGGTGGTTCCCCTTGCTTTGCAGTGTCACTGGCAATCACTGTGCTGGACACTATCACACACAATTACTTAATTCAGGTCCCTCAGTACCTCTGATCTGGACCTGAAGCTTGGATCACGAAGCAGCATTCACTTTACCAAGGTCATCTAAAGAGTTTTTAGCTGCAAGTCACAGAGATCACTTGTCAGGAACGAAAGGACTGCACAGATTTTTCACTAAGCAAGCCAAGCACAGCTCCTCTTACCATTTGAATCATACAATCATAGGGTTGGAAGGAACCTTAAAGACTGTCTAGTTCCACCCCTTCTGCTGTGGGCAGGGACACGTCCCACTAGACCAGGTTTCTCAGAGCTCCATTCAACGAGCCCTTCTGAGATTACCAGTCAGTGGTTCAGTACTGAGTGAAGGATCTCCATTCCTTGGGATGATCCCCCAGGTATCTTGCATTTGGACTGAAGCCTCAAGAGCCTCAGACAAATTTTGATGTGGAAAAGGAATGGGAACTTGAGTATGTTTCATAGAACACAAAGTAGTCTTAACCCAAACTGACCCCATCTTATTTGAGCATCCTATCCATGAACTTATTTTGGGGATTCTTTTGCTGGCAGCTTTGTTCTAAACTTACTATGGATCACAAATTCTTATGGAAAAGATGCTTAATCACTCAGAGACTTAAACTCATTTTGCCAAAATATTAGGTTGGGGCCATCTAAAAAGCAAAGGGCCTGATTATAGCAGGTAGCAGGAGGTTGGCTCCCAGGCAGTCTCTCTCTGAAGGATCTAGGAGAAAACAAACCCTTGAGGGATTCCTATAGAGGAAAATTTTAGCGAATGGGATTTGTGTCCAGCTCCATTGTTCCCATGAACAGCCGGCACTTCAGCAGGAAAGAAAACTAAAACAAAAGCAGGAAGCTGACTGTTGTCAATAAGGAATAGGTATCCTTCCCAGCTGGTTGTTGACAAGTTCCCCACAATCTCCATTGTGTTCCTTCCCCAGTGCATCCAGTCCTTTTATCTCAGTCAGCCCAACTAGATGGAACGATTTTCATAGGATTTCCAAAAGAAACTTTGCTATTTCTGAGTTGGTGGAGAGCCACAAGATGGAAAGAGGTACAGGGGAAATAAATATCACTGTTTGCTCATGTCAGTGTCCTTCCTAGACATTTGCAACACCTGCCAAATTTGCTGTCTTGCTATTCCTGTAGGACTTCTTCAGACTTGGCAGTCAGTGGAATTTAGTCTGCCTTGTCCTTCCTGGAGTCACAGGGCGAGATCCTTGGAGAGCAGTAGATCCCCAAGCCATCGAGCACTGTATTTATGCATAGTCTGAGGGGACTGCAGGGCTTTTGGGTGCCCTCCAAGTTGTGAGTGCAGCTGTGTTTGTTAAATCAACACCTGTAAGCCAGCGCTTAGCACGGAGCCTGAGCAACAACAGGCAGTCAGCTCTCGTGGGGGTAACTCCTCCCCAGGGGCATACTTTTCACTAAAATTCATTAGATGAGTGGAAAATATAATGCTCCAAGTATTCTATTAGGGACAGCTGTGTGCACAAACAAATAAAAATTGCTTGTGGCTCTCCATGTATTTGTATGGGTACATGTACACAAACATACAGTGTTTACAGTCATTGTATGGACAAAGATATAGTGAGTGTATGTGTGTGAAACTTGCTTCCAACCTGAAGTGCATCAGTAATTAAATTAAAAGGTTCTGGAACATAGCTTCCCTATTACTTACAAAATTCAGGGCTTAAAACTCCTGGATCCTTGTAATAGCCAGAATATGATGCGCTTTCCAGCCACAGCTCCATCTGGGAGGCAGAGCAAGCTGGGAACCCTGTTACCCTGTTTGTCTGTCCTTGGCTGAAGGCAGCTGCCCAGCAGCCTAAGGCCATCCTGTGTTCATGAAAACTGACAGGTGAAAAACTCTTACATGTTGAAAACCACCAATCACCCGTGTAATACAACAAGCCACAGCGGCTGCTGCCTGAGCTCCCTTCTGGAGTCAGAGGGGGAGAGGGAGATCTTCACAGGTGTGATTTTACCTGTGTCCCTCAGCCCTCTGTCTCAGGCAGGGATGCTAAAGGCTCAGCTGTGATGGGGACTCCTGCCCACTCTGTAAGGCATCTCCTGCTTTTCATCATGCCAGCCACAGACTGTAATAACCCTGGGGTTAACTCCAAACCAGAGACCTTGTGGTGGGCAGGTCCATACTCAGCCTGCTCAGACCTGCAAAACAAGAAAAAAGCCCAGGAGGTCCCAAGGACCTCTGGCCATACCCTGAAGTTCACACCATGTAAACTGAATGCAAATATCATCTCTGTTTATAGGCTGGGCATCTGTTGAAGCTGAGAATTCAAAACTATTCCTTTCTTGCACAGGATATTTCGAGGCCCCGGCCACCCCAAAGGGCTTTGCCAGCTGATCCTGTCCCATCCAGATCCAGAGCCTGGCAGGGGAACAGCCCTGCTGTCCCACTGCCTCCTGCACACACCAGAACTCCAGGACGGCTCCAGCCTGGGGCAGAGGTAGGTACTGAGAGTGGTGGTGGGAGTGGGGTAGAGCAATGGGGGGATGGAGGTGTGTGTGACCCAGAACCATCAGTGAAGAGCAGCAAAACATGGAGATTCACATAAGACTTGGAGATCCCAGCAAGGAACAAAAATTCTTTCCAGCCTCTCTAGCCACAGCTAAGGAGATGCTTTCTCTGCAAGGAGTGTTTCCTAAAATTGTCCTTAATAAGGGACTTTCAGACACTGAGTTCAGTGCCCTGCAAATGGGACCACTTAACACAAAACACTTCCACTCCACACAGCACAGTTCTATTGCCTCCAGCCTGCAACATACTGGAGGCCAGCTGTGAAAAATGGAGAAAACGGAATGAATTTCATTGTGCTCTTGGTGGGAGAGTTTCCTGTGTAGGTGATGCTTTAAGGTGTGAATGCATGTGAATGGAGAGAGGCTTCCCCTGGCTGGCAGTAACATCAGCTCCAGGAGAGGGCGAAGGCAGTGCTTGCTCTTCCACCACTGCTCACTCTTCTCTCTTTTCCCTTTCTCCATCTCACCCAGAATGCTGGTGTCTGGATGGCTGGAGCAGCGAACAGCTGGAAAGTAGGACAGCCAGGCTCCCGTGGGCACTCCTGAAGCAGTTTGTTCTGGCTGGTCGTGGCCTTCACAGAGCACTGGATGGCCTTCATCACCCACAGACACACTCCCTGCCAGTGTCTCCCTTCCGCTCCTCTTGCCTCCTGTTTCCTCCGTGACTCACCAAGCTGCAGTCAGGTGTGGCAGGAGTGCCCCAGGTACATGCCAAGCTGAGCTGGACCCTCTCTGCTGACAGCCTTTTCCATGTCGGGATGACTCGTTTGTACGGTATTTAAATATTGTTGTGCAATATCCAATGCAGGGATGGGGTGAAGGGGGGATTTCATGTGTTTGTAATCAGTTATTGAAGAGTTACCAGGGAGAACAAGCTGTGAGCGCAGGTGCTGGCCCTGATGGGCTTTTATGTGAGCCCCAGCCCTGTTGGCTTCCTCAGCCCCTCCACGCAGCTGCAGGAGCGTACATTGGTGCTATAAAGAACCCGCTGCCTCCTGGGAGAGCAGAAGGCAGCTGGTGATAACTTTCTTCAGTTTATTTTCAGTTTACAGTGTGTGGCAAGTGGGGCCACAACAGGGAGCAAGCCACAGAAATATAATTTGTGGGCCACTGTGGGTTTTGATTGGCTTTAGTGGAGTGGATTGATTATTTTCCCTATAAAACCATCCTCAGCAAGAGCGTTGCAACCTGTCTGCCCTCCAGCTCTCGCTTGTCTTCCCTCGGTGCTGTAACACCTGAAAGCATCCCCAGCATGGCCATTAGGACACATTCAAGGTACGACAGGGAGACTGGCCAAGACACAGAGCAAAGGGCCAGAAGGAAGCTCAGCAAAGGGCAGTGCTGAGCCCTCCTCTCCAGCATGCGGTACCGTGGATCAACAGGCACTTTTGCACATCTCCTCAGACGTCAGTCTGTGCTGAGCAGTAACTCAGCATGGGCTGTCTGCTCCCCAAACCACTGAGAAACCTACCTTAAAAATGCCCAGTGGAGAAACAGCAGAAATATTAACACAACACATGGTGCTTTTGTAAGGCAGCTCTTTTACTCCAGGTTTTTTCCTCCAGGCCATGGATGGAGAGAGCTGTCTGTGTGCACTTTAAGCAGCTGATGGTTCTGACCCTGAGGATTCTCCCTTATGAATTTGTGGTTTTTTTCTTCTCCTAATAGTTTGGGCTTTTGTATGGTTGGGTTTTTTTTCCTTAGGATTTTAAAATAAGACCTTTTGTTATGCCAGATATTTTTTTTTTCCTTAAGATGATTTCCTAGGAGAACCCAGGGAAATCTGGAGCTGTGGTTACAACAGTTCTGTTGTGTCTGATTTATTATGGAAAAATCCTCAAACAGCGTGACTGCTGCTCCACATGTGAGAAACTATTATTGGCATAAAGAAAGAGTCTTGTCTGATGGTTCTCTTTCCCTGAGATAAAAAAAACCAAACCAACCAGATAAACTCCAAGTACTCATTAAATTTGTAGTTGTATGTAGTAGTGTATCTGTAAGGACTTCAACCACACTAGTTTTCACAACTTTACTACCTCTTTCTCCACAAGGAAACAGTTCACAGGGTTGAATTTCTCGCTGATTATTCCTTATCTTACTGATTTTAGACCTCTTCTTACCTTTTACGTGCCTGGAAAACAAACCAACCTAAAAAAACTCCTTTCTGAATCAAGGTATATCAAATGAAAGACAACAGCTTCCTGATCTTTATATGTCTTTTTCTATAGCTGGGATATATTACATATAAAAATGTATATTCAAAGAACCCCCAAACTTGTTGTTTCTTGGGGTGCAGCCAGTGTGGCTGTGGATGTCATGGCATGTTTTGGTGCTCACAGGTGGAGCAGGACTGCACATACACTGTAGTAGTAGATTCAATCACAAGAACTTGATCTTTCATCTGAGCCCTCACTGAGGACACAGCAGCACACTTCTGCTCCAACCCCTGATCTCCAGCAAATGGCCACTCAAAATCACTAAAATTATTATCACTAAGCATTTCGTGTGATCATGGGATCAAGGTTTTCAAAAATGCCCCTGGACACACAATGCTCAGATTACTGGACCTGCCCAAACTCTAATGGAAAACTTTATTGCTGGAATATCATAAAAATCCCCAGAAAGTAGTTAGTTTTAAGTAAGTCCTTATAAATTTTCAGATGTGTGCAAGTCGAGTTGAATGAGAACAGGGGAACTCCAGGAGGAGTAAAAGATGGTAAAACCTGTTTTTTTGAAAGATAATGTTACTTGGCAGAACATATATTAAAATACATCTCACTTTCTCCTGTGTCCACCATATTAATGGTTTATTAATGGTTTACAATAATGCTCTCTATGCATCTATGCAAATACTTGAAGAATGCAAGTCATTGTGCCTTTTGCCTGGTTTTAATAAATTTGTTGTTTGTCATTAATAAATGCTCTTTCCCCTGTGTGCTATTTCATTACCTCTGCTCAAACCTTCATTTTCTATGTGGCATTTCTCCAGAGATGGCAGGATTGCTGGAGGAATGGCTTTTATGAAATACAGTTCTAGGCAGCGAGGAAAGTCCCATTTACAGTCATTTTTTAAGATAAAATGCATAAAGCATTACACTGATTAGGATGCCAAAACAATAGCTAGAGTGAGTGACTTGGATTATTGTCTGCCACCAAAGGAGGTCGCTGCTGTTTCACTCTCCTCCAGATGCTCTTTCTGCTGCATTCAGCTGTTCCTCAGCCTGTTCATCCTTTAGGGTTACACCAGTAAGATGAGAGAAATCATTAAAACCTTTTAGATCCACCTGCAACTGTTACATATATTTTTTTTTTTTAGAAAAAACCTTTATTTTCCTTTCCACATTCCAAAAAAATAGTACTGAAATGTTATTAAAATAAGAGATTGTATAGTCCTCTCTCCTGCAACCCTAAGTTGCATTTGGTCAGTGATGCTCAGACCCAGGTATAACCAGGTGGGCATCTCAGGCAGCATCAGTGTGTGCTGTGGGCCAGGGATAACCCAGGCAGAGCTGCCTCTGGACTGGCTCAGGCCTTGCTGCTCCCTGTTTGGGATTTGCTGTCAGCAAATGAACTCCAGTCTCCCCATAAGACCCAGCAGTGAGATGGGAAAAACCTTTTAACTGCAGTAATACCTTCCTTTTTCATCTTCCAGCTCAAAATGTCATTTCTCCCATCCCTTCACCCTGACCAGTGATACAGATCCAAGGGTGTTTCAAAGATGAGCTGTGAGCAAAAGGCCAGGTGTGCTATATTGGGAGAGATGGAGAGAGGGACTGCTCTGGGATAAACTGCATCCCTGCATCCCTGCAGAGCATCACCCTCTTATGCCTGCTCGGCTTTTAACACGCAGCTCACACCTCTTTCTAAACAACAACAAAAAAGCTTTGGGGCTTAAATGATAGGGGGCTCGCCAAGGTCAAGATATTTCCTAAGGAAAAAATACGTAACATTTACAGCCACTTTGTCTTTCAGACCGAAAAGATTATCACAAGCAGGCTTGGGGACAGTGGCAGTGTTTTTCCTGACATGGAGTTTATCCTGACAGAGCTCCCCAGCCTGAGAAGAGGCTGCCCCTTGTTCGGGTGAGGTCTGGATCAGGCCCAGAGACCTCACCATCCCCATCAACATGGCCTGGGCACCGCAGCTACTAAGGAAAAAGAAAACCCCAAACAAATAAAACTCCCATAAAAATAATTAACACTGTGCTGCAGGGAAACACCTGGATCTCACAGAAAAACAAAAGCTGAAAAAGATTTCCCTGCCACGGTCCAAAAGCACTTCATGGTTTGGGTCCAGCCACTGAGCCTGAGCGAGTGCCTATTCCAAAAATTGCCAAGTTTTGCCCATATTCACCAATATTCTTGTCCCATTATTTGCAGAGCAAGTGACCAAATATGGATGAGCAGAGTTTGAATTGCAGGAGTGCACTGTTCAGTCCTTGTTTCTCATCTCCACTTGAGATACTGGTGTGTATTTTAGAGTTCATGCTAATGCCTAGAAAGGGGAAAAAAAAAAAAAAAGACAAAACCCACAAATCAATGACTCAAATCAAGGCCTGGAAATAAAGACATCAATGGCCACCCAGGGGAAGGAGTTCAAGAGTAAACATTTGCCCTGCCAAGAATAAGAGATGGGAAGGGGCCTCGGAGAGGAGCTTTGTCCCAGGACTATCATATTTCAAGAGGATTTTTGTTTTCAGTGGCTGCATGTACTAAGGCACAGCAAGGATTAAACACCCCTCGCTGCCACACCGTGACAGAGATCCCATCCAAAAGCCTGGAGAAAGTTTTGGCTTGATTCTGCCAAGCTTTGGATAAGACACTGTTGGTTTTATTTTCTGCTTTTCCTCTTTTAAACTGCTCAATGACAGCTGGCATACTGATCAACCCATTCACCCACCCTCCAGTCCCTCACATATAACATGCCAGCAGTGGAGCATGAATACCTTGGGTTTATCCTCTGGGGCGATGCTGGAGTTGTCCACCTCTATCAGGATGTTCTTGTCATCTCTGGTGACCGGCACTTCTTGCTCGTTCTGGAGGACTTGCGGTAGATTCTCTAAACTGACATGCAGGTCTTTGAAGGCGTGGAGTAAAAACACCCCCAGAATGATGGTGAGGAAGCCACAAACTGTCCCGATGATGTCGACGACGGTCATGGCGACCCACTCCTTAAAGAGGATGATGGAAGTCGTGATGACGATGGTGGTGAACAGCACGTAGTAGATGGGAAACACCAAGGAGGTGTTGAAGATGTCCAGGGACTTGTTGAGGTAGTTGATTTGTGTGGTGATGGATGCCACCAGCGTGATGACCAGGATCCATGTCAATGGGTGCTGCAGCACAGGCTGCCCAGCAAAGAAGCCCTTGATGGCAATTCCCAAGCCCTTGACTGAGGACACGGAGAAGGCACCAATGACGGAGCAGATGGTGAGGTAGACGAGGATGTTGCTCTGGCCATAACGGGGTGCCAGGCAGAAGATCAGGAGGAAGCAGAGGGCCAAGAGGATCGCAGCATAAGTGAGGAAACCTGGAAGAGGGAGAGGAGAATTCAAAACTGAGCAGCGGGAACAGAGAGCAACAGGCACTGCCCAGCCTTGGGGAGGAAAATGCACCCTTCTGATTACCTGGCTCCTTCAGCTTGGAAGTCATTTCATCCAGAGTGGTGACCTCCTCATCCTCTGGAGCGTGTATCACCATCACAGTGCTGCCCACCAGGCTCAGCATGCAGCCCAGCTTTCCCAGCAGGTTGAGCCGCTCTCCAAGCAAATATGAAGACAGGATGGCACTGCATGGGACAGAAAAATGTCAACTGGTCCTTTAAAGAGGGAAGAGCAGCTAAAATAAAGTTAAGAATGCTTTCATGTGATACAAGGACACAAATTTGGCGTAAATTAGTTGGATTCCGGTGTGTTGATACACCATCACATTGCATCTACTGGCAGCTGAACCTGCAGAGGTGCAGGTGTGATCTGCAGATCACAGCTCTTGAGACAGCAAGGTGCAAAAATGCTGAATGTATTAACACATCCTCAGAAATATTTTCAGGGCCTACAGAATCACACATGAGCTGCTGGGCATTTTGGAGCTTTTAGCACTCAGGGAAGTTACTTCAAGGACCAGTGTAACACAGAAAAAAAGCTGAACCTCACAACAAAAGTCACATTAATTTTAACTAAATCAGAACTATTAAGCTTCAGAGAAATGTGGAAGGTGCTAGGGCTACAGATAAATCTACAAAAATATCTAGTTGTTGTCCACAAAAATATGGGACAAGACACCAGGAGCAGTCCTAACTCTCAGTCTGCTTATGCATTTCACGATAACAGTCTTTCTATAAAACCTTCAGTACCCAGAGTCATGTATTTTGGTACGAAACTCTTTTTTAAAAATAAGAAATAAAACAGCGTTTCAGCCCTTTTGTCAACAGCCACAAGTATAAAAACCCACAGCATCAGAGTGCCCTAAAAACCTAAAAAATAAAAGGCAAATGAGAGGCAGTTTGAAAACAAGCCTGATATTTTTGACCCTTTCAGATTTTTAGTACTGTTGACTACAAGATTAAAACAAAACAAACAAACAAACCAAAACAACCTTGAATTGGATAAATAAATACCTGGAATAAGGAAGGAAGTAATTTTGATATTTGTAATAGTTTAACCTGCAGTGTATGTGGCTGCTCTCCACATGCACTATTTCCAGAAGGGCAGACTCCTTAATTCAATGGTTCACAAATGATCCCCCCAAAGGAAAATCATTATTAAAGTGGTTTTTTTAGAAAACACTGAAACATTTCTTTCCTCTAGGCAGAATAAATCATATTAGCATCACTTCAAGTTCTTTCTATCTTTACAAGACAAACAGGCAAACAAAAAAAAAGGCAAATTGCAAACTATAGACACAAAAATCACCTTATGAGCACACTCAGAGCCCCCAGAGGCGTGACAATAGTTGCAGGAGCAAAGGCATAGGCAGCAAAGTTGGCAGCTTCCCCTCCACCCACTAAACAAACAAAGAAAAATAAATACCAGTGAGTTACAGTGTACATTTTATGCTTTCTCTTGTGGGCTTGCAAACCAGTAAGATAGTTGGAGAGTGGGTTTTATGCTGGGTGTTTCGTGCTGCTGCTGAACAGGGGCAGACAGCGGGTGAAAATCTCTCTATCACAAATGAACACAAGCAGAGGGGCACCCCTGGAGCCCTGCACCCACACAGGGGAGGGCTGGAGGTGCCAGGGCTTGGCCATGTCAGGGCTGACCCGTGAGAATTCACTAAACCCTCCCATCCCACCAGGCTGTGTCTGGGGGTTAATGAGGGAGAGGGGCAGCTGTGGGAGCCCCAGTGCTGGGAGGCTGCTCCTCACCTCCCCAGTGTGTCCTTGGGGCTGTGCTGTCCTCTCTGGCCCAGCTGTCCTTGTCCCCAAGCAGTGAGGGCTGTGTGTGGTCGCTCACAGGAGCTGCAAGGGCAGGGTGAGGTAGGGGCACCTTGAGCTGCTGCTGCCGCAGCGAGAGCCAGACAGGAGGGCTCTGAAAAACCCTCTTGTGAAATCCACTGCTCCCTATGCAACCTTGAGTCCAGTTTGGGGAGCTATTGTAAGGCTGCAGCATGAAAGAATGGTTTTAAGGCTCGCTCTGAGGGAAAGCAAGCCTTGCTCAAGAGAGGAGCTGCTACCAACACCTCTGTTATCTCCCTGTGCCACAGCAGGAACCTTTCCCAGAGCCCCAGGCACACACAGGAGGCTGTTTGCCCTGTGCCTGATACACAGGCAGACCTGCCAGCTGCCTCATTAAAACCTGGCTTTTCATGCTTTTGATCAGGTAAAACTGAGCTAGCAAGTCCTACCAGCCCTGCAGGAGGATGGAGAGGGAGATCCTGCAAGACTCACTGCCTCTCCTCTCCTTGAGGAACCTCTGCTGAGGATGGGGGAATTCAACAGAAAACAGCCTTTAAGCCACGAGACAGCTTGTTCCACACCTCATTCACAGGGACAGACCCTGCAAAAGCTTCAAACCCAGGCAAAGAGCTTCTACTTACTGGTTATCAAGCCAGCCCACCAGAGCCAGTCCTTTAGGTAGCCATGGCCTCCATCTCCTGGGGAAGAAAAGCACATGGGGATGCAGGAATTAAGAACCATGTTCATCAGAGCAAGAGATGAGAAATGTCCCTTTGGAGAGGGATAAATTGCAAGGGGAAGGCTCCCTGTGTCCTGTCCCAGAATCTCTCTGCTCCTTTTGTACACTGCTGTATATATTGACTGTATTGCAGGGCCTCAGCATGAACTGTCAGCAAACCTGATGTTAACTTCATGTGGAAGAGCCATTATATGACTGAGCATTTCTGATGAAAAATAATTCCTGGCACTGAAACAACTAAATGAAAATAAAAAAAGGGATGTAAATAAAGAAGAATGGACATACTGTGTTGGGAACTAATCCAGCTCTGTCCTAACCCACAAGCTGTTGGACATAAGGAGCTTAAGCCTGCTAACATTGTGAACCCTGCTTTTGCTGGGTCAGAGGGAGCCCATGTTTTTGATAAATCTGACTCAACTGGAGCTGTCAGTAACAGCAGTGTTTGACCTGCCTTGGAGAAAAGTGATGTGCTAGGATGGAAGGGGTGACACCCTGGGACTGAGAGATTAAAGGGTGAAATGGGGACAACAGGAAACGAAAAGTTGAACAGAAAGATTTCAGAATACAGGGAAAAATCTTTTGCTAGAATTCAGCCTCTTCTGGCTCCTCAGTAAGTTCACAAATGCTGAAGTTCAAATGCTATCCTTTGGTATTCCTTAGAAATTGCTGGTTTATTTGTTTTGGGTTTTTTGGTTTTTTGTTTGTTTTTGCTTGGTTGGGGTTTTTCTCAAGAACTCTTTTTGTCAGCAGCAGTCTTCTGTAATTAATCTCTAATTCCTTGTTATACATTCTGAAAAATAGGGAGGGGTTTTCTCTTGTTTCACTCACTTGGCTCTGTTGTGGGAAGAAGTTCATGGAGGGAAGGAGGAGAGAGACATCTTCTACAGTTGAACCAATACTGATATTCCATTGTACAAATATAATTCCAAACCTATTTGTGTTCAGCAGTTGCATGTGGTCAGACTAAGGGCAGAGGATGGAGACTGAAGACTGGTCTGTGGCTCAGGTGCTGTTGGTAGCTTTGCTGTTTGACTCCGGACAGTCACTTCATCATTCCCAGTAAAATGGGGATGGCCACATTTACTCCCTCTGAAAAATTATTTAAGAATTGTTCCCAGGCCAGGCCTTGGGAGCAGCAGTATTTTAATTATCATTGCTTTGTTTTGTAGTTATGCAAGTAGGTCAGCTGCCAGGTAGGATTTACACTGCTGCCAGAGCACGTTTGCAATGCTGATGGGATGTGTCCAATTCCACAGTGCAATTCTGCTGTAGGCAGTGCTGCTCCACCACTGCCCATCTATAAACACACGCTTCACCCTAAGAGCCTGGTGCTAGAGGAAAGTTATCTACAGGTTGTTGAGCAACATACCTCAGAAGGAAGGCTTCTGAAACCACAAGCAGAGTTCACGCACAGCACTGGCGTGCAGTCCTGCATTCAAACATGGCTTTTGCTAATTGAAGCACATAGGGCCATATCCTTGTCTCGGTGACTTGGTGGCAAAGCTGCCCAGTGCATCAATAAGAGCAAGAGTGGGGTCACAGTGCTGTGCTGGTCTGTGTCAAGTCTGATGACTTGCAGCTTTGTGCAAAGGGGCCATCTCAAAGAGCTTTCAGCACTCTGCTTCCTCCTGGCCTCACTCCCCCCACGTAAGAGATGTGATGGACGTGTACAGTTCTTCTGCTGGGGCAGATCTCATCGCACAGGGCATGTCACTTGCTATTTGCTGTGCCAGGCAGGGGAATGCTGCTTTTAGCTGAGCTCTTCCAGTGCAGGGCTCTGTAATTTAGCTCCTTTCTGAAGCAGGGCTCTGTAAATTAGCTCCTCAGCTCCCTCACAGTACTGCTGTCTCACTCTCACACACAAAAATGCATCCACAAAAGGTCTTATTTACATTGCTGAGAGAAGACTGACTGTACCCAGAGGTGTTCCCTTGCCTTATGAGTGCTGGAGTTTGGATGATGTGCGTGGTTCTTAAAAGAGGTGGACCTTTCCCTCCTGCCCCCCCCAGAATCCTTACCTGCTCTGGTGCCTCCCTTCTCCACCAGCCGTAGCAGCCCCTTCTTCTTGAGGATGACACTGCTTCCAATGAGGAAGCTGGAGAAGACAGCCAAGCCCAGGCCAATGTAGAATCCATAATTGCTCTCCAGCTGAGTTATCCAGAAATTATCCGAAGTCCTGTTGTCCTGGACGGAGTCAGCTGGGTCAGCATCGCTGATCACTTGGCACACGACCCGGTGGGAAAGGCACGAAAGGGTGATCAGAGACCCTGTGAGACCACCATGGAGATAAACCAGCAAATTATTGACATGACTATCAAGAGTGTCTCTACTGCCCTTGGACTCACTCAGATGTCCCCCTGAACAGCCACCCATGTTGTCACCCTAAGAGCACACACCCATCAGCTCTCAAAAGCTCAGGACACCTCTTTACTCACATGTGGAAATGGCAAGGTGAGTGACAGATTTAGGGCCTGCAGTTCAACCATCTCTTGGACACTGATTGTGTTGATTAGTCTACACACTGAACTGGAAGGCCACAAGGACCTCTCTAATAATGTAATTTAAACCTACAAATATATATGCCAGAGTATCTCCACCTAACTCAGATGTTATGGGGTTGAACTATGCATTATCAACATTCAACCTTGTTGATTCAAAGGCCTTAGTGCAGTCCAGCCAACTAATCCTTACATCTGCCAGCTCATCTGCAGCTTATAACTTCGGGTTTAATGTGGAGTGATGCCAGCACGTTGTAACTGTGCATCTGTTCCAGCTCTGTGTAGTGAACTGTGTCATAAGACAACAACAGGTTTGTCTCGGAGCAAAGTTTCATCTCTGTGCTGCCTCTGCTCTTTAATGGTTTTATTCTACCTATTTGTAGAGTGCCTGAGTGCTCCTAAAGCAAACCTAGTCCTGCCAGTGTGGAATGACTGAGAGCAGGCACGGTTTCCTGCTGTTAACACTACAGCCCTGTCTCTCTGGCCAAGGTGTGTTGCTGTGTGTGGGTGGGAAAATTGCTCAGTTTCTTCCACCCTGACACTCCTACCACACCCAGCACATCTTTCTATTGCAACCTTCACTCTGAGTGTAGTAAAGACAGCGTGACTGTGACCATGAGGAACAGAGCAACCAGGTGGAGTGTCACAAAAGTCCCTTTGTAGTAAAAGACTTCTATTTTCTGCCTGAACTCATGTAGGAAATATGGAGCAATTATTTGTGTGTATAGGCAGGAGTGTGCAATGGCTAAACTGCTCCCAGCACTACCAGCAGCCTGGGCACGGGTCCCACCTTTTTCCTGAATCAGGAGACTGGCTTAGATCTTCTGCAGCTGCAAGCCCTGGCTCTAGCACACATAGCTGAGGTTTTGGATCTGAAGTGGAAATAAACATTTTTCCAAAGGAAAAAATTCCAGTGACTTTCTAGATGAATTTCCAAAGGTTCTCTAATAGAAAACCATCTTTGATAGTGGAAAAAAATGTCTTGGGAGGTATGGGGGGAATTTGCCTCCCGGTCTGGGTGAAAACGGGCAAAAGTGTAAGGCAGCAGGATGGGGTGATCACCGACTGGATTAGTTAATCTTTAAAGGACTAAACTCCCAAGTCCCACACAAGTTTTCTGTGTACTGTGAGGCTGGCAGAGTGCGGTGCTGGCTGCGTGGCTCAAGTTTTCCCATTTTCCCATTCCTATACAGACCTCAAGAAACGCAAAAGAAACCCCGTACCCAGAAAAAAACCCAAACAGAGCAGTGACAGAGGACAGCCCCAAAGCCGGGGCGGGGATGGTTGTTGGGGGGTAAGGCCGGGAGGTGCCGCGGGCTCAGCCCCTTCCCGGACCTGTCCCGCCGCTCCCCCCGGGCCGGTCCCGCTCCCCCCGGGGCTGCACCCACCGTTGCTGCAGCTGCTGTTCGTCTCCAGCGCCTCCATCGCCTCCCTGCTCCGCTTCTCAGCGCATCCCGAGGGCACAGCCGGGCTGGGCAGGGCAGGCTCTCCCGCACACCTGTGCCCGCCCGGCTCCTCCTTCCTCCGGGAAGGGCCGGCCCCTCCACGGGCTCGGAGCAGCGAGAGCAGCACCTCGGGCGAGCCTTGCAGTGCCCCCCGGTCCGCCCCCGCTCCCCGCAGCCCTTGAGCCCCATCCCCGTCCCCCGCCTGCCCGGTGGTGGCAGCCGGGAAGGGGGAGGGGTTCTGTTCCTTCCCACAGATCTGGATGAGGCTCCTGCCAGAGTTTCTCCTCTGGAGAGTGTGTTCCTTGTTGCAGCGGTAGGAGAAGGTGCTGCGGCAGCCCGAGGGGTGGCTCGGAGGGGTGTGAGCCCAGGCACAGGTTTAGGGGACCCGATGTGCGCTGAGCACGCTGCAAAGCAGGGGGGCTTCAAACGTGCGCAGGGTGTGGTGGAACAGAAATTAAGGGTAAACAAGAGAAATGTTAGTGTGCGGTTAATGGTTGGACTTGATGAGCCTAATTAGAGGTGTTTTTCAGCCTAAAAGTTTTGGGCGCCACAATGGATGAAGGATGTAAAGCTGTTAGAGAGCATCCGAAGGAGAAGATGGTGGAGGGTCTGGAGGGGACGTCGTATTGGTCTTGGGTTTTTTAGCCTGGAGAAGAGGATACTCCATCAACTCCCCCTCCCACGGCAGCCGAAGCCTCCCTTGCTGATGGTAGCGTGTGAACGCTTCGGAGTGTGCTGCACACCAGTGTGTTTTGCCTTCATCCCCACCCTCCTCTGCCGACCTCCCTTCCTGCGTTTGTGCTCGGTGGCCGTGTGTACACAGAAACCTACTGCCGATACAAAAGCCCTTTCGGTGCCATTAGCCAGGTTTTGCTGTAGGTCCGCAGATAAGTAAAACCAATAGTAGAACAATAGCACCAAGCCCGCATTTATAGGTAGAAACGGTCACGGCAGTATAAAGATGTAAGATTTGCAGGATTTGAACGTGTCTGGAAAGTTGCTTTTCTTTTTTTCCCCCGTAAAATAAATTACTTGTTAAAACAGAAATTGCCCTTAGACCATCAGGCTGCAGCGTTGCTAACGCCTCATGGCTCCTTCACTCAGCGCCTGATCCTATCTCTGAGCAACTCTTTTCTTCAACAAATGTAATGCTCAAGTGCTTTGTGAGACATTTGATTTTAATCAGTTCTGTTCATCCGTCAGAGTCCTGAGGGTCATTGACTGGGAGAGACTGTGCCAGCCAAATCCCCTTTATCCCCAGGGCACTAGATAATCAATCCTAATCATTTGGCAGCAGGTTTTGGAGTAGGAAATGAAACGTGCTAATTTTTCACTGTTCTGGGAGCAATTTCTGCTGCTATTATATGTTAGGCAGGCAAAGGTGGCAAGACCCTGGGCAAGTGGTGGTGGGATTTGACCTCTATTTAGTAAATTTACTCCCTGATATTAATTAAGAGTTATCCGTGCAATGTGTGAATATGAAGCTGCTTGCAGAAATCAGTATGGTGGTGGAGATGGACAAGTATTTGCTGTGTTTGCAGTGCTGACTGCCTGCACTAGCTGGGGCATTTGTGTCCCCTGTCCCTTCACAGGCTGCCCCAGCTGTTTGCTCTGGTGCTCTGTGGGGCTCTCCCCTTTGCTGGACCTTTTCCAACGCCCTGAGGTCTTGCTTGTAGCTGGGGAGTCCTAATTGTGATGTGATTATTGGCAATTAAACTCTGTCCAAAATAAATTCCAAGCTTTTGCGGGTGAGTGTTGTTATCTGTGCAGAGCACAGAGACGGTGAGGGAGGGAGCAAATTTTTATGGAAGAGATCTGGGATTAAAATAATTCTTTTGGTCATAGTGCAACCTCATACATTACTGCCACAGCATCGTGCACTTAAAAGCAATAGGCACTTTTGGGCCACAGCTTTACCTTCCCCTGTCAGCTTGATTTCCTAAAGGAAAAGGTTAGTGTGACTACATACATGTGTGTTTATGTACTTCCCTTCATCCCCAAAGATATTTGATACGGTGGACTGACTTTTGCCAGATTTGACAAGGGGTCAGACCTCCAAAAGAAGCCATTCTAAGTTCTGGGAAGAGAGACATGGTGGGGAAGAGGTCCCAAAAGGAGAGAACACGGCAGCGTGAGCTGACTCTATCAGACACCAGGGAAGGAGGGTGTCTAGTTGTCACCACTGTGGGAGAAACTTCAGTCAGATCTTGTAATTAACCACAGACACAAGTGTGTCACATATTTCTTTCTCTTTGGTGCAGGGGCTGTGGGGTGCAGGGCATAAAATCAGAGTCACATGAGTTGCATTTGATGGAATTAGCAAGGCTGTGCATGGCAATATGGGAATTAAAAGCCAGGTAGGATTGGCATGGAATTGCCTTCTACACTCAGTCAAGGGCAAGTTGAGACTGATAACAATAAAGCAGGGATGCAGCCAATGCCTCTTTTATTGCTTCATATCCTCATTTTAATGGGAAGACTATAATTAAGGGAATTCAGCTCCAAGCTATGACCTCACTGGTTGATAATCACATCAGATGCTGCCTTAAAAATAACTCATCAGAAATCAGGGAGTCTTCCTTAGCAGCTCATCTTCTAACAATGCAGTTCCTCCTGAAATACTGGTTTCCAGGCCAAAAAACTTGATTGGAATCCAGGGGGCAGAACAAGACAGCTTTGCATGCAAATAACCTCTTTAGCAACATCAAAAGGCTTTTCTTTGCCCTGCTCTTGTCTGCTCATCTCTTCTGTTCTGGAAAAATGATGGAAAAATACTGGGTATCAACTGTCTTGTATTAAAAATAATGGTGGAAGTATTTTGCTAACAGGTGATGGAAACTTTTGCCCTTGGATATCTGCTAGGCATGGTTCCTGTGGAAACTTTCTGAACAGGACTGCAGTATTCTGCTCTGGCTTTGTACAGATTTAGGGCTCCAAGGAGCCATTGGCTGCTTCAAAGAGAGGGTAAATCGTTTTTCTGGCAATGACCTGATAGTGTAAGGGTTAAAGGAATTGCCTGCTGTTGGATGATTGCAGCACTACTCAAAAGGATGCTCGAGGCTTGAAAGGCTGAACTTTGTTGAGCAGACAGCTTTAATTCAGCCTATTTCAAGATAACTGTGTCTGCAGAGGCTGAGGCTGACATTTGGTTCTACAAAGGTTTAGACACCACCGACAGGGAGAGTTCCCAAGCCTGTCACACCCGTGGTGCATTCCCACCCTTGTGGAACTGCCCTCCCTGTGCCAGTGCACATACCTGTGGGTCTGTGCTGAGTGATCCAGGGTCATGAGGCCATAAAACACACCCCAGCTCCTTTCTCCCAGGGTTGCTAAATATTTTATCCAGATCAGTTCAGTGATCCAGGTCACTGTGGCCCCATAAAGCACGTATGTTTTCAGAACAGGAGTGGCGGGTTGGTGACGGATGGGAGCTGGTGCTCAACGGGGCATCGGAGCAGCAGTGGGTGCCACGAGGTGAAGTGACATCAGTGACATGCAATCAGCAGATCATTTGTTTGCAGACCTCTTATCTGCCAGGCGTTTGCATCAGAACTCTAAGTCAAGCAAAACTAGATATGAAAGGCACTCCTGGCTTGCAGAGAGGGTCACAGAAAGGGTAATTTTGTTAAGCTTTTGAAAGAATAAAACAATCATTAATGAACTGTTCTTCAAATGGGTGAAGTGCCTTTAATCTGAAGATGTAAACATATTTAGGAGCACTAAGAAGAAGATGTGGGCCTGTATCTTTGATACTGGTCCCTTAGGGCTGGTTGTTCAAAATTCAGTCTTGGACCCTGACACCCAAACCAAGAATTGCTTCTGTCTCCATGTGAGCTCTCAGCACTTGTTATGGCTGGTGTGAGAACAGGGGTGTGCATGACACAGCAGCTAAAATTAGTTAAAAAAACAAAAAGGGAAGTCTTGATGGAAGAAATAATGAAACCCAAACAACCTGTCCAATATTGGTGTCTGAGGCAGGAAGAAAGTCCTGCTCTCCTCTCTGCCATTCCCTGCAGAATGATGTTGAAATCAGTAAACATTGGGCAACTTTCAACCATCGGGCAAACAGTTCTGCACAGCAGGATGTCACCCACAGAGCTGCAGCACATCCTGACTTAAAGCACATTGGAAAGATCAACACAGATGCCTGGTCATGGGGTAAAGTTCACTTCCAGTTCTATGTGAAGAATCATTGCATTTCTATTCCTCTTAAGCTAGGAGGCTGTGCCCATGAGGAACCTTGGGAAGAAGCTATGAAATGGAACATCAATTACAGTGTTTAGTCTAGAGCTGAGCACAGGAGCTCCCACTCCCATAGATCCATTCAGTTGTTTCACTTAAATTCCTCAGTTCCCACTCCTTCTGCAGCCAACAGCTGCAGCTGCTCTTTGGATGCTTCTAACACAAAACTAAGAATGGTTTCAAATGGAAATCTGGGAAAAATAATAGCAAGGAGAGTCTCCTGGAATAAAAAAGGCCCCTGTGGAGTTGACAAGGCTCTGGTAATGAGAGGAAATTAGCCCCTCAGTTTAGCTTTGTTTTGAGTAGAGCCCATCAAATTTTGTTAAGAATAATTATATGATTTTCCCTCCACTGGCAACCTAATAATAAAACAAGTTTTCATATAAATATTTGTTGTGCCAGGAAGTTTTTCTCTAAGATCATTACCTTTCTGATAGGAAAATATGTCTGCTTTGTGTTGACCAAAATGCCTCTGTTTTTTTCCTTTGGTTTTGAAAAAAGCTCAACATTTTTATCAACGTAGCTTTTCCTTTGTGCCAGGTGCAATTGGAGGCTCTTTCCTAAATAACAGATATCACAATGACAATAACACCACAAAGTAAAGTCTGCCCATTTCATGAATGAGCCCAATTTTTATTTCTCTTCATCACAAAAGTCATCCCACATTTGTTGTACACACTGTTGGTTGCTGTGTTACGGGACATATCACCAGGTACCAGATGCTTTACTCTTGCAGAAGCACTTCTAATGGAGATGGAAGCTTCTGTTGGCTGTATTTCAGAACAACAGCAAAAAATACAAAACCAAAATATCATCTTCAGCTGCATAGCAAATATGGATCAAAAATTTAACACTGTATCAGATC